TCCAGAAGGGGCCGCTGCACGGTGGAGAGCGCTCACTCGTGGAGTGGAGGGGTGGTGTGGGGGGGCGTGGCGGTCCACGTCGCCGACACTCCGCGTGCAGACTCGGGATTCAGATAAAGCAGAGATGGCGTCAGATACACACCACATCAGGTGCATATTCTGGCCGTGTGGGCACCAAACTGACAATGGGTGGCTTGCTATCAAAAGCCGAAAACCCGCGGAGTGGTTGTCCTCCTCCCTCCGGTCTGCCTCTCACTACGCCAGCACCAGCCTGTCAGCGATTCACCACCAACAGATCTGCGCGTCATAGTGGGCGCCATGGCTCGCTTGCTCCATGGTTCTTGCATGCAGCCAATTTCAGCCCGCGCCCTTAAATCACCTAAATTAAGCTGTCTGGGGATGCGCTCTTGGCTTGTGGCTGCGTTAGCGTTCCCACGAGGCGTCCCCCGGGGCCCACCGGTGTAGATGCCTGCATCTTGCTCATACCTCGCTGCCCATGTCCGGTCCGCCTCGCTGCCCCAAATACTGGCTTATGCTGTCAGTACTGCTAGCTCACACGTGTCCTTCTTCTCGTCGTTGTTGTGTCTTTTGTAAAACTCAAGCTTCGCTAGACTCTGCATAGTCAGCCTGCAAAGGTAAACACTCAGGGCCCTTATTTCTTTTGCATTGCACCAGCCCACTACATTGTCCTACAGCCGCTATCTCAGACTTGCTGTGAGTGTGATAGGTAATGTTCGGAACCTACTACCTCGCGACATTTGCTTAACACCACTGAGGAGGCCTCATCCTCTTCGAACTCTGAGAAAATATCTCGCAAGTTTCAGAAAGCGGCACGTTCTCCCTTCTGTGATTTGTTGACAGCTCATTCTGCGCAGCCGGTCCCGGCTGCCACCGCCATTATGGGTGACGAAGTCGACGTGCTCTCCCTCAAACCTTTTCGCGATGTCGTCGAGCACGCAAACACGGCCCTGGAAAATGCTGGCGATAATGAGGTCATGCGCAAAGCGGCCAAGAAGCTTCTCAGAGAAGGCGAAAAGGCAGTAAAGCTCATTGAACCCCAGTGCACCAAGCGACACACTGAATACGGAGACAACTTTCTTCACGCTCTTCGGGAGAATGGTGCGCGAGACCAAACACGCTCAGCTCCTTTTTTTTTTTCTGAAATTCGTGATTGCTAATATCTCTCCTAGAAGATATCAAAGACCCTCGGGCGAAACTTGGCCGTCTAATATACGGCTTTGATGAATATGTCGAGGAGGACGAATTCGAAGCCGACAAGTATACCGAACTGCAGGGTCTCACACGAGAGACTGCTCTAAAAATGTACGAAATTTTAATCAGCATGAAGCTCGAGGCGACCTTGCTCGGAGGCAACCTGCTATATTCATTTCTCAACGAATCTTCGCCGCCGTCTTCGCCCATTCCTCCGCCCAACTTTCGTATACCACCAACGCCTACTCGTTTGTCGGTCCAAAGCGCAACATGCGCGCCATCCAGCACACCAGCCGGCGCGCCGATTTGCACCTTCCAGAACGTCTACTATGCGAACGAAGAGCTCAAAAACTTTCGCGACAGACAGCCCAGCAGTGTGCTGGCTCCAGAAGACGAGCCAGTCGTCAGCCCCTCTCAGCGGACTTCGCCTCCTCAGCAGCCGCCGCCACTTCGGCCTCCTTCCGCCAACCCACGGAATACAGCGGTAGCCGGATCAAGCGATGAAATCGCAGTCGCTATCGGAAGGGGACGACTCCCGTGCTGTCCACTGGTGGTGCCCGCCTCGCCGCAAATTCCGCCTTCAACCTCATCGCCAGTCAGCCCTGGCCAGCACCGGCTTAGCCCTGCTCTCCCGCGCCGCCCCATAGGCTCATCGTTTGAAGCGCAACCAGGGAGCCCCGATGAATATCCTTATGACGAAGCAGAATGGCGCCGCCTCACGAACCAGCAGCAGTATGACTATCAGTCCCTTAGCCAGCATTCGAGCCCGCTACAGCTCAACACAATACTTAAGTCGTTCCCGCAGGAAGGTGCCTACAATCACGGCACTCATGGCTATCAGTCGGTCCCAGGGACCATCCATACACATCATGGCCATCAGGTGTCACTAGAATCCGACTCAGTTGGCCACAAGCACGACCCGCACCGTGACACATTCGGCAGCCTTCCACAGCGAGGCTCAAAACCAGGATCTCTTCGCAGGCCTGTTTCCGAGAATGCCAAAAGATTGGGGACAAGCACCCGTATCTAATCTCAGTCAAATGGTCCTCTGGCCACACCGGTATCTTTGGCAATAGTTGTAAATGTGATTCTTCAAGTGTGCTTCTTCTCTATCTAGAGAGATCAGATAGACCTCTTTATAGGTACAAGCAAGCTGCCTGCAGCTTGCTTTTGTTGCGTTGCAACACTACTGATACATTGTGATGTTTGATCCCTTGATATTTGCTTTTGGTAGCTTCAGCCTCTGTATCAGAGCTGCTTGACGTCACCTGCCGTTCAGAAACAACTGCAATGAACTGGCCGACCAACTCGCGAAGCATGGAGCCACACTTTCCGTCGACGAGCATCTGCCATCTGTCTCGTATAGAAAGACAGATGAAGAAGCAGGTAGAGCAGTAGACCACCGAGCCTGGTGGGCATCGGTTGAGAGAACGGAGTACCTCAAGCTTGGACTCAGTGCCGAGCTTAAGAAGCTCCCGGAACTCAGTCTCCCCCGCCGCCTGCTCGGCTATCTTCTGACAGCACGATCACAACACTGCGACTTTGCGGAATACCATGAGAGATTCCACCCAGGACAGGCGACGCTGGAGTGCCCCTGCGGGTGCCAGAAATAGCCCACCCATCTTTTCTACTGCAGAAAGATCCCTGACCATCTCCGGGTTCGGCTGACACCCAACCCAGAGACGGCAATAGGGAAATTTCTCGGTAGATCCTACAATGTGTACGTAGGCATTGCTGACTTCTACAGCCATGGGCAAAATGGCCTTCCCTAAATCTCCATACATTTGTCGCTAATCTGAGCCTTCAGACACTAACTGGCAGCTGCGCATTAGTATTGTGACTGAAAAAAACCGTGGGGTGAGGCTAAAAGCGTTTAAATGAGTTTTACCTTCATTTTAAGGTCGTTTTAAGAAATTTTAACTCATTTTTAGCTCTATTGAAGTTAGTCTAAAAAGTAAATATTTAATTAAAACTAGAAGCCTATTTTGCCCATAAGTGTACTATTCGAAGATCAACAAGCGCACATAACACCGTGTAGGGTGTACAAGCCTGGTGCGCTCTGTACAGTATCCTGCCCAAGTAGTTCGCGCTACTCGTTAAACGCTTATCATTTCCTTTGTTTTAGGCGATATACGCCACTGACAGCAGGGCTCCCGCTGGTCCCCGTATAAAGACCAGGAGACAAAAGTTGTTGGCGCAACGCGCCCACGGTTGCCACCGCGAGCGCGTCACGCCAGCATCATCGTGATCCCGCTGACGGGTATCGGTTCAGACAGATATATGCCATTTGGCGCAACACTGCTACAGTTGGAGGATGATGGCAGGGAGAGTGTTCCAGGGGCAACTAGTGAGAACATGGGCGCGCGCCGCCCTGTCTGTGGGGGCCTACTAAGCGGCTAAGCGGGTACGCCTGCACGTTTATCCGTAGAAGGCTCGATAGCACGTCTAAAAGCCTACTCTAGGGCGCCAACAGACATAAACAATCAAATCAAAATCAAATCAAATGCGTTCCATGAGCGGGAGAGCGCTCACGGGTCTTAGGATTTGTCGTAACTGATGCATGGTTGTGACCAACGGCCAATTCATTTTGCGATGTCGGCGAACACTAGCTGCACAGTTCTCCCTGCAGCCTAGTAGTCTACACTATACCTGTTGTCGGAGCACGCCGGGGCAGTTTGCAGCTGACTCTGCCAGCAAGACAGTCAATTTAGCCAAGCCGTCACCGGGTGGGATGCCCGGAATGCCTGGAGCTCCCGGTATACCCTGCCACCTTTCAAAATGTTTCGCATCTTTGTGGCTTGTTGTTTTCGTAGCGACCAATTCTCCAGCCCTCTTCAAAGGCAGTTGGTAACCGTGCGCATTTGTGTTGTGAAATCAGTCGAATGACTCTGCTCCGTGACGCTAGACTCGGTAGAAGACTCAGTTGAGAAGGTAATAGAGGAGTTTGAGACAGCAGCGCTACGTGCCGCTTCGCTTGTATAATCTGTCGTGCTGACGGAGGTGGTGGGCGCGGAAGGAAGCACGGAGCTTGAAGAGGAAGGCATCTGGGATACGTGTCTTCCGAGGGTTTGCTACGACGCATTTCGACTTGCAATCGCGAACGGGGATAAAACGAGAGCGAAGATCTTCGCTGAAAGAGCGTACACCACTAGGGTCATCATTGAAGGTGAGGACAGCCCTGCAGTGAGCAGAGCAAAGCGGTTGGTCGACCGACCCGCTCAGCACCGGCTCTACAAAGCATTTGTAAAACATCAGCACCTTTCCAGAATTGCATGGCGTGAATTTTGACGACTGGCTCTGGAGAGGGAACGAGCAGTTGAAGAGTGGCTGTCCATGCTTCGTACCACTGCATGCTATTTACCGCCTCTCTGGTTGGCCGTCTTAAAACTCTAGCACTCTTGTGCCCCGTGTAATTTTCACTGCCGGAAATAGGGTAGCTTGAGGTTGGTCGCCTGCCATCAGCAAAGAGGCTCTAGCCCCTGGCGATCTGCTGGTGGGTGCTAGCCTCCACCCTTGTCTCCAAATCCGTCCTCGCTCAAGATTAACTATCTCAGTGTACTATGGATTAAAGCTGATGGCCAGCCGACGGCGGGGCTACCATCCGATCTTCTGGAGGCAGTATTCTCCGCTACAAATCACCCGATCGCCATCGCTGTGCCTGTGCCTCCGGCCGCTCCCCCGTCGAAATCATTCCCGCGTAGCCCCCATACCCTGACATGCGGCCACGATTGGCCAGAGGGCTCTTGCTATACTATTGGTGGCTTAAATTAGGAGCTTGTGCTCTCGATTCAGTCATTCGATGGCATCCGAGCCAGGCCTTGGCTTGATGATGACCGTCTGACACCAGCTGTGAAATACTCCAGCTTTTCGTCTCTCCGCCCAGTACTACAAATATACCACAATCAGCCGGAATGGTGCAAATTCAGGGAGCCAGGCTATCTCTTCATGCGGCGCTGAGTGGGGTTCTCAAATCAACTAAACCAGCCTAGCTGTAAACCGAGCAGGAGAGGCACGATTACAGTATCATCTGTAAAGCAGTCGCTAGTACTACTCGCTATCGACCAGTGAGTATCACTAACCCAAATAGGCATTATCAATACAGAGTCTACGAAACGAGGCATCTGTTAAAAAAGATTGCAATTTTATTTACGCCACTACATAGTACGTGAATAGTTCAGATATCTATCGACGGCTATGCCAGTTCCAATCCTCAGTTAGCAGAGGTCGAGAAATGCTTGTGGTTAAACGGAGCCCCGAGTATTGCCGCTAGACCACCAGTAAGCTCAGGGCAGTCAAGTATTCTTGTTGGAGGTGAGCGCCGTATATTGATGCCGAGAACTCGAATGGCTATTCCATGATTACCCGCGACACGTGTAGGCTGTCGCGTTGCCGCATCAGCAAGTTCATCACCCTCCTCGCCTTTGCCATGTTGTAGATCGAGACACTTGCGTAAATGAGACGTCTCTAGTTATAGCTCAAAATGTGGAGAACGGTTTATTCTTGCCGAGATAGTCATGCAAACGCCTTTTCCGTTCATGTGAGTTTTGCAATGGCCCAAGTACCGGTTGGCTTGATCTCCTCAGACAGCTGTCCTGGCGCTCCGAGACAGTTTGTATTTGTTTTGAAGAGAGCAGCGTATGCCTAGGGCTCCGTGCGCTAGGAACACAGCTCAAGATGTTCGATTTGTTGGATGAGAGCTTGGTCGACGGGTAGAAAGCTGGTTGCAGAGCTTTGTTCTGATACAGTGTCATGAAACTCGCTGTCGATGAATGGGCTGAGAAGATGTGCTGCATCGGGAAATAAAATGCTGAACATGGTTCTCCATCGAGCATCTGGTGCTTGATACTCATCGTCCAGCATCATCAACTTCCGCTGCGTCGTCTCGTCAAAACCGGGCATCTTTCTGAACTCCTTTTTTTCACAATTTTTCGTGCGATAGTGCGTATCTCTTTTTCCCGCGTCGCCAAACTGTTGATAACAGCGAAGACAATGTTTAGGTGCTGCATGACGATCCAGCAAGTGCATCAACACGTCCTCTACCGTTAGTAACCCTGGACTGTAACATTCATTGCACGTAGTTGGCTCCCGCTTGTAGAATGGGCATGCTAGAAAACGACGCCGCTTAGCATCATCCAACCCCGCATTGTCTTCGAGGGAGTCTCCGGGCCACTGTTTCGAGGAGTCTGTAATATCGGTCCGCGTATTCTTGTCTCCACACACAAATGCCATCTGTTCTGTCTTATCAGAGCTTTTTTAGCATATGAAAAGTCTTGCTGTAGAATGTTCGCGTACCATTAGGGATAGTGTCAATTCCGTCCATTATGCTGGCAAATGGTCAGCAGATGCGTTAGAAGCCGATGGTGTAGATAAAAGTTAGGCTGGGCCTGGAAACTTCCTCAATTGCGTGATGAGACTCACACTATTTATACGTAAAGGAACAGGGGCGGGCTTTTGGAGAAACCCCTAGAGCTACCTTGCATGCGATTCCGAAAAGAAACCCGCAGTACCATGCGCCTTGCGGGATTCTAGCTAGCGCCATAATAGGCGTGTGGAGTCAGCCAAGAACGACCACTTTAAACGGGGGCATAGCGCCAAGCGATGCTGTGGCCCACTCCGCTGCACTTCAACAGTCGCCTTTTTTTTTTTTTTTTGGCTTTTTGTTAGTGTCTATGGTGTGGCACTAGGGTGCAGAGAGACGTGCCATTAACTAGTTGCTATCCCATGAGGAGGTGATAGGTGCATTGGTGAGCTGACTGGAGGTGAGCTATGGATGGATATTCTATAAGGCTGCTTAGTGGCCTAAGACCACTAGGCAAGGGCCATATCCTCAACAGTTTAATAGAATAAAATCAGATGACTAGATTGTGTCCTCTTCACCAGGGTGAGGAATCAATCCACCCACGTCCACGAGTGCTTGTCGTGGATGGAATTGACAGCTTACTCAGCAGCGCTGTCGTGGGTTGAGTCCACGAAGCCTTCTCGTGGGTTGATGGCCACAATATTGAGGACCCATGTCGTCTCCACATCGATTTCCTAATTGAGTAATTTTGAAGCTATCGTGAAACCCCCTTACCCCGCCTCATCCTCGAAACTCCTCCGTTGAGCAATCCTCCCCAAGCCCCATTGATACAGCCCTGTCCAGCAGTATATTGTCAACATCCTTGATTATTCCCGCGCGTAGCCACGAGCGTAAGGTTTGGATAAGTCCAATTGTTCCTGCATCCATCCTGTTCCGCAGCGGAGTAACCATTAGCCCTGCTGCCGAGAACAGCCTCTCGCACTCTGCGCTCATGGCCGGCACTGTCATCACATCAAGTGCCATTCGAGACAGCTTAGGATACTCGAATCTCTTCAGGTGCCAATACTCCACCGGGTCAGCCACATCTCTGTCCAGCTCCGACATGCTAGCTTGCCAGCGTGCGTATTCATCTGCTCCGGCAGTGGGTGCATTGCTTTGCCGGTGTCTATTACGGTACCTATCAAATGAGGACAGCACAGTCTTCTGCTTTTTTAGCGCTGGCCCATCGGCAGTGGATGCGACTGTGATTTGCAGGTTACTATATTCATTGCTCCAGAGCTGCTGCACAATCTGCTTCGCTTCTTCAACCCATTCCGGGTGGTGCCGGCCCCAAATCTCGTCAAAATAAGTCCATCGCAGCCCAGGATGCAAAGCAGCGGCAGCGTAGTAGACCGGCGTGTCTCTCAAGGTATTATAGTACTTGTCCAGCTTCATCCAGCCAAGATTGACGTTAATGCCAAAATGCTCCGGCTCGGGATGCGTCTCGATCTGCGACTTTGCGTCTTCCAGCTTGCTCAGAAGGAACTCAAATGCCTCTAGCACGTCAGTCATCGAACCGAAGGTCTCTCGTATGCCGGAGGCGCGACAACGCGGCTGCCCATCGCCCTGGAGCGCTTGTACAACCACGTGGAAGTCCGAGAGGATCTCGTCAAAAGTCCTGAGCACCGCCCAATCGTTCTCGGTGAGGAAGCTTGACTCCTCAAGACAAGGAGGAAACCTCCGGCCTACCTCTCCTCTCCGGCCATCTCGGAAGATTCTCTTTGCTTTAGCAATGAACTCTTCATAGAAAGGCTGCAGTCGCAACAGCCGCTTGATCATGTAGTATTGGGATAGCCATCTGGTATCGTTGTCAATAACCACGTCGACTGGCCGTTGCTTCCCAACTTCGGCGTCGTCAGCTGCCGCATACGAGTCTTGTTGGATTTGGCGAAGCAACTGCGTCAGAACATCCGACCGATGGACCCAAATGGCAAAGTTGTGAGCTTTGCCGACGGGGCCTCTCCGCATCCACGTGTCGTGCGCTGCCCTTGCCAGTGCTTCGCCCTTCGCGACGGTGTCCTCAAACGCCTCGACATCTTTTCCAAACAGAAGGGACTTGACGACGAGATTGAGAATGTGGCCAACGCATCGAACGCGCCGTCGCACCGGATCGAAGTGCAACTCTTGCGCGATCTCGCGCATCGCCGTGTCGTTGTTCGCTGCATTGTCGAGGGTGAAGTAACCCACTTTGTCCTCGATGCCGAAGGAGCGAATAATGTCAAGGATCTCAGCAGCGATATTCTCGCCGGAGTGTCGTTCCACCAGCTCCGGAATGCCCAGGACAAGCTTTCGGAGTTGGTTGTCCTCATCTCGGAAGACAGCCGTCACGCCGTATAATGCGTGACGGTTTCTGGTCCTCGCGCCATCGAAAGCGATATGTATCTGGCCCGGAGACCTCCTCAATGCATGCTGAACGGCATCGCGATGGCGCTCGAACTGCTGAATAGCCAAGCTCTGGATAGTCTTAGCAGTAACATGCGCATCCTTGATACGCACCGCAGGATTCAGGTATTCGAATATTTGTCGCAGACGTGGATGTTCGACCTGCCTGAATGACTGCTGGCTCTCTACTATCCAGTTCACCACCAGCTTCTGGAACTCGGCTTGATCGAATCGTCGGATTAGGTTGTTCGCCAGGGCCTGGTCGTTAGGCTCCAAACGTTTGAGGCCCATGAGGTCTGTGATCGATGCGAAGGCTTTCCTTCCCTCTTTCGTCTGCAGTGGCGTTCGTCGTCGTCCTGACGGATCCCAGTAGCCGTGAGACTTCCAGAGGTGGTGCTCGGCATTCTGTGTGCCTCTTGATTCGTATGACTGTGGTGATGATGCTTTTTGGCGCACGCACGGCATGCAGATCCATCGCCTGGACGCTTCTGATTGAATCTCAACGCCGTAGTCCCATATCCAAGACACCGTATCCTTGGTTCGTTCGGCTAGTGTGAAGCCCTTCCAGACGCGGAATATGCGCTGCTCCTCATCTGAGGATGGCGTCCAGGATGTCAAAGGAATTTTTCCCGCGTCTAGAAGGGCAAGCCTCGGGAGCAGTAAAGCATCGTGCGGGGTATCATCGCTAGCTGGTGTTTTAGGTTCGATGTTGGTAGTTACTGGCTCGGCCATGTTTCAGCTGCCAGTCGCCTCGTGTTGCAGGTGGCCTAAAATGGCGACGCGTCGCAGGACGCGACAAGGCGCGCCCGCCGTACTGTAGTGGGTGGATAGTGCCGACAACTAGTGTTACGTCGGCCCCAGCGAGCGACTTAGGTTGGCCTCTTACCCTGCAGCAGAGCTTCCGTTTCTCGCGATGCTGGACGACTGGTCAATCCATCCATATCGTCCATCAAAATGCGCAGCACCGTGGATTGGTTGATTATGTAACAATTCAAGTCGTGGGTTGACGTTGACGCGTGTTGAGGTCAATATATTGGTCAACCAGTGGATTTCGTGGATTGATTCCTCACCCTGCTCTTCACTGTGGCCATTGACCATCCTAGGTCACTCAATCCAGGGCGGCCAGTCTTAAATCCATGGTCGATTTGTTCTTGGGGAAATCGAGTGAAGACCGAATTTTGCTGGGACACACTCTCGTGGCAGATTACACTGCTGTCATTCTAAAGCCGTGGTTGGGCAATAGAGAGCGGCTTGGGGGACGCACGCAGGGCGGCTAGCACGAGTAACGTGAGGAATGGCAAATAGGAGATCTGCTGACAAATTCGCTGCTGTTAATAGGCTGGGTTCATGCCTGCGCAGAACATAGAGGATAGTCCACCGCCTGCTAAGCAGCTTGAGAAGAGCAAGCTCTTGGGAACCAGGGAGTTGGGGGCGGGGGGCAAGGGTATTTCGAAGAATCGAGCATACCACCAAATCTGTGGGTATCGAAGGCAGCCTTTGCCCTAGCATAGCTTCTCGTCACCAGCGTCAGTGTCTGGTAATTGCTCAAGAAGCTCATAAGAGTCAATTTCAGACGAACATGCCGACCCTGGCGAAGACGGTGCAGGGTTTGCAGAAGGGGGCCTCCTGGGAGAATAAAGCAGGTCGCGCCGTCCGTCACCCCCCCAGACACCATCCCCAGCACCAGGCTATCTTCGCCCACGGCCGGGCTGCCGGATATCCCGCCACTCAAGTTCATGTTGGCCATGTAATAGCTGATGTTCAAGTCGCTGTAGGGCCCGTCGTACTCCGGGGCGTTGCGGTCCGTCCGACTGATCGTGGCGGCGATGATGCTGGTGGCTTCGCCGGCATCGTTACCGACCACAAGTACAGGCTGGCCGACTACACAAACGGTTAGCCTTTCCTCCGTGCCGTGCCCTATACCAGGGGTAGTTACCGGTTGCGCCATCTGGACTGAGGACCAAACCGTCTATTGCCGTATTCCGAACGCCTTCCGGGTCGTACTTGAGAAAGGCGAAGTCGTGAATGGGGTCGATACAGAGCGGCCGGCAGGAGACGGCTTCCTGGTCGAAAATACACAAGCCGCAGAACGGTCCCGGACCGGCCACGTGCCGGTTCGTGAGGATATAACTAGAACCCACGGATCAGCACACCAACTTGCCGCGAGCCTCTACACTGGTACCCTCTCTTGGCATCCCACGACAAATCCGGTTGCCTCACTTGTCCCCGCACAGTCTCCGTCAAAGGGAAGCGTGTGACTGAATTTGATCACCACCACGTTTCGGCTGATTCGAGACTAGTCCTTGCGACTCCGTTGTGCTGGACGTTCCGGGTTCGTGGCCGATCGCCTCCGGAACCCCCGTCGGAACGCTTCCCAGAGCATGTTGCCGGCAGCAGATCGAATGGCTGTGGCTTCTGATGGTCAGCAGGCATGTCAGCGCTCTTATAGCTGGTGGGCATGACATTCGATGCGATGTCCATCGGCCGAGGGCCTGATAATGGCTCTCGAACGTTGGAGCGCTACATTCTGCGGGCAAGGCCAAAATTGGCTGGCCCTGCAAACAACAACGAGAGACGTCCGAATCCTACTTGTCCGGCCGGCGCGGCCGCGGCCACCCGAGTCTGCTCCGCACACTTATAAAGACGCTGCCCTCGAGCTGTGCCACCCCTCGAGACCTTAGGTCAGAGCCATGGAAAGCGCAAATTAGGTTTCAGCTTGTCTTGGCCGCAATAACGCGCCTCACGGCGGCATCTTATTTACGAAATGCAGCACCGCGTAGCGCAGAGGGCCTGCTGTTCATCAACACAACTGGGGCGACGCTGTCGACATCCACAGAGTCAATGTCGCCCCCCAACGTAGACATAATATCCTCCGCTGCCGGCGGCAACCCCACCATGCAACCAACAACCTCCCAAAATCCTACTACCCCGCCCATAAGGCTAGGCTCAAGCCGCACCACCCTGACGGCACTCGTTTGAGGCCTGGCCACAGAAGTAACTCACTTTGGCTACAGCCATTCGTTCGAGGCTTCGCGGGCTACTCAGCCCACTCCCTTTCGTGAAGCCTTTTTGATGTGAGAAAACAGGAGATTGCCAACCCCGTTCCTCACTTTTGCGTCGGTGGACGATGAGCTTCCACCTCCACGTGGTGTCCACCGGGAGAAACAGTTAGTTATCTCTGCGTGCCAAGAGAAGCTCGATGAACCCTCATCTCGCATGCCATGATAGATCATAGATAAGAGCAAGGAGCAGCTAAGAACCAAAGACGTTTCGCCACACCAGTTCACAGCCAGTGAATGTGTGCGCTCCCCGTTGCCCCGGCCCCACCACGGCCCAACTGCTCCGCTACCAGCTACAATAGAAGATGCAAAATGAAACAACTCTGTCATGTAAGGTGCCTGCGTGTGAGAAGGGGCGGTCGCTCGCTTCTGTCCAATTTTTGACTGCCGAGTAAGGCGTTGCTTGTGCTTCCTGGGACCACGTCCTTCCGCTTGGTGTATCCATTTCTGACCTCTCTATGTTTGCAAAGGTGGCTATAGCCGCCTCCAAGACGAAAGAAAACTCAAACTGTCAAGACTTCAACATTGCCTCTACAATACCGTCTGCGTCCTCCTGCGGCGGCATCCAGAATTGAATCACTTCGAAGCCAGCCTTGTCCAGTAGCTCATGCCACTGCCTTTCGGTGCGCTCCATGCCCGCGTTAAAGGCCATCATGGTCATGTCCAGCATCGCGTGGAACGTGGACGCGCCCTCTTCAGGGACAATCATTTCGTGAAGCAGAAGCTTGGAATATCCTGGCGCCATGGACTTTTTCAGAGCCTCCAGGATCTCAGAGCATTTTTCGTCGGACCAATCGTGCAGGATGTGGTGATAGAAATAGGCGCGCGCTCCTGCGGCTTGCTGTCAGCATTGTCTCTAAATCGGGGATAGTATTAGGCGAACTGGATACCTTTGATCGGCTGCACAGTGAAGAAATCATACGTCACGACGTCAATGGCAGGATCGAAGGTGCTCTTGACGCTGTCCGTCACGGAATCTAGGTCTTGGAGCACTAGTTTTCCTCTTCCGTGGTATCTCTCATGAAAGGCGAGAAGATCATGGCCCTTGCCACCACCGACATCGACGAGCAGCGGAGCTTGGTCGTTGGCACCGCCCAACAGCTGCTGCTCGACAGGAAACCAGTCGACCCAGTAGTTTCGCGCGCCCATGGTATTGCCCATGAAGAGGTTGAAATCTTTGAGGACTTGAGGAATGGAGCTGAATAACTCAAAGGTCGTCATCTTCGTCTGAAAGGCAAACTGCATGAAGCCGTCGCGGGGATCGGTAGGACATCGGTAACCGTACTCTTTCAGGTACTTTGGTGCCTTTTGTGCCGCACCAACAATCATTTCGCCGCTGATGGTGTTATTTTTTCTTCTCCCGAAAGGTTTTGAGAGTATCAAACTTACATCATTCGATGGCCCGCGGAGATTTCTTCTGTCGCCATGGCATGTGTAACTGGCGTAGGCTCCCATTGTCGCTCGCCTGCCTCCTTGACAACCCCAACGGAAGCCAGCGGACGTAATGTGCGGACTGAATGAATTTCTTGTTAGTAGCATTTAGACACATGTGCCAAGTGTTTCGGCCTACTAATTAACATCTCTTCACTGCCTGATCTCTCAGCTAGCTGTTTGGACGAGATTGGCGCGTTATTGTTGGCAATGAGCTTGAACAGTCCCATGCCAATCGCGATTCGTGCAGCTACCGTAACAAAAGGCTTCATTCAATTTTCGTCAGCAGCCATTGAAATGATGCGAGTGAAACAAGTACCGCAAAAGCAAGCTCTACGGCAGTGCTGGCAGGGTGCGACAAACTCCCTGTTAGTTGCCGACTGAGCTGGATCGCCTGGTTCTTCGCTTCTGTATTGTCGCCATTGGCCAGCTGGGGTGCAAGCTTCGATAGCTGCTCAATCAGAACAATGCTCGGGTTTGCCTGTCTCATCGTGAGCTTTGAAATGTCTTTTTGTTTACTTTGTCTGTGTTTGACTTAAGACGTGTCTTTCTTTTCCTCTTCTGTGTCCGAACTCGATATTATAATATAATATTGGTATGTTCTTAATTCACTTTGTTGGTTGTGACCAGCGTCACGGCGTCCATACACACAGTGGGCGAGGCTAGCGTGGCCTGCAAACTGAGCCCTCGAGTTTGCATGCCGAGTCCCGCGACGTGGACCACACCGCCCCCCACACCGCCCCGAGTGGGAAGAGCCTGGGGGGCTTCGGCGGGTTCAGCAGCTTCGGCGGGCTTGCTCTTGGGGTGACCTTGCAGAGGAGCAGGCTTGTCAACGGCAGTGGACTGACGAAGCATGCTGGCCCATGTCTTGGCGGCGGCGGCAGCAGGCTGGCTGGCAGGTAATTCAGTAACAGGCTTGGTCTCAACGGGGTCAGCCTTGATCTTTGTCTCGCCCCAAGCAGAGGACTCCTCAGTAGGGACGGACAACTGCTGGTTCTCCTTGCTGCGCGTGGCACCGTTAGTAGAGGGCTGGGCGGTGCGACCACGAGGGGCACCACCACGACCGCCTCTCTCTGTAGCTCGGCCTCGTCCTCGGCCACCTTCGGACACGGTGCGGCCGCCACGAGCGGCGCGGGGAGCAGTCGTCTGTTCGTTCGTGGTACTAGCGGCAGCCGGAGCGTCCTTTGCCTTTGTGCGAGCGGGCTTCTTGGTCTTCGAGACCTCGCCCCATTGAGAAATGGTACCTACGGAGCAGGGTTAGCCACGCGACGGGAGATTTCGAAAAGATTAAGAAAAAACTGGCAGGCGACGCATCCGGTTTGCGTCATTTTTACTGTGCGCGGTTGACAGATAACTGTAGGGTTAAGAGAAGCAAAGTAAACGTACCTTCGGCAATGCGCGTGACAGCCTCGGATTGATCACCGTTTGTCTCTTGGAGGGCAAAAAGGACGTCGGCCTCGGACCAATCTGGGAACATCTCGCGAATGACAGAAGTCTTATCTCCATACAGCTTTCGGAGCTCGCCTAGGTCGGCGTCGTCGTCAAAGGCGGCAGGGGAGTCGCTGTGATCAGGCTTGTCGGAGCCGTTGGGTCTGCGACCGCCGCGACCAGCGAAACCACCGCGACCGCCGCGGCCAGAGCCTCTACCGCGCGAGGCGGAGGACCGTGATGTGACCTCAGACATGAGGGGCGTAGATTGAGAGGATTGGTGTGATGGAGAAGAGGGTAAGCCGGAGCTGGGAAGGCAGAGTTTGGGAGGAACTGAACGTGTGAAAAGGGCAGCGGCCGGTCAGAGGGCCTCTGCAAGCAAACGAGGACAGGCAGCGGTGCGTAAACAAACGACGCCAGCTACCAAGTCCGAATCGACGGAAAATTAGATGGAGGCTGTATCGACAAAAGCGACGCCGATGGGGGTGGTGGTTGCGGTTGTGATTGTTGGTGATAGGAAGAGGATGAAGAAGAGTGGAGGAGGCGAGGAGGGTTTATGAAGACGTCGGCACGGTCAACCACATGTTAATCAAACTTAAGAATCTCTCTCTTGAAAGAGAAAACCAAAAGAACTGCCTGCAGTCAGAGGAATGATCAACGATGCTTTGAAAAGCAATGCGAGAACATGTTGTACGACATTCGTCGCGCGAAGCCAGACTGCAGAACCTATCTAGCGCACCTCTACTTCGTTCGATTTCTCCCGGCATGTATGTGAATTGTCATGATTTGTTACCTGGGGTAGAGCTCCAACGCGGCAGAATCGTAGCTGATGCCACGAGGATGTGCCTGCCGGACCAGGCACGGTGGTGCGGATGCCCTATGTAGTAGATGTGCCACTGCCGGGAGGTAGCGTTGCTGACCTGTGGGCAAATGGATGCCTGGCGGAAAGGCTGTGGCGAGTGTTTAGAGGTGTTTCGTACACACAGAAGGCCGCAATGGTAACTTTTCTCTGTAAACAAGGGAAAGTTGCAGCATGTTGGCCTTGCAGTTTATCAGGAACAGCGCAAGTTCCACAACCGGGTTCGACCAGAAGGGGGGTCGTTAACAGTTCTGTCATGCATAGAAAATTCCCGTTGCGTTCTGCAGTCCAACTCGGCAGCACGTCCTTCTGCTGAGGAAACCAAGCGTGGAGCTCTTTCTGTCGGATACGCTGCCTCTGTTGGCTCGACCGCAAGCGTTCTGCCGGGGTGACAAAATCGTTGTTACATTGCTGCCTGGCAGGCAGCAGCATTTGCAGGTGTATCTAGTGCAGGATCGTCAAGCTTTTCGACAACAAAAGGTCAATGGTGGCTGGGTAGGTGCCTACTGTGCTTCCGCCCTTGACCAGTGGGCGTGTGCTTGCTACTGCTAGGACCACATCCTCCCTGCATCCATTCGTCGCGTTTCGGCACGTCGGCGGCGTCAAAGTTCCTTAGCCTCCATTGTAATACCGTCTGTCAACTTCTGTTTCTATGATTTTGACACGGGGGGTCTTCTTCGTGCTTGGCCCGTCCACTTCCTTATTGGCGCCTTTCACTTATTCACTTGACATCGTCCACTTCGTAGTTTTTCGATGTAGGAGAGTAGTGTCGTTAGTATTGTGCCTTCATCAAGTTCCGTTCGTCCATCTTCTCCTTGACTCGTTGTCTTTTTCTGGGCGCAACAATTTTGAGACAGCCTCAACCTTGGTCTGTACGAAGGAGTGTCGTTAGTATCATGTCTGGTTGTCCATCTTCTCCTCGACTCGTTGTCTTTTTCGGGCGCAGAAATTGGGACAACATTCACTTTGGTTTGTAGGAGGGGGGTGTAGTTCATGTTGAGCCTACTTTACACATCGGCAGTCGGCTCAGGAAGGATTTCAGGATCTGCACACGGCACGAGGAGGTGGCTTACGCCAAATGGAGACTTTAATGTCTAATTGGGTGTCACCTGGCTGCATGGCGTGCGATATGCTTCTCGCATGGAATCAAACGTGGCAATCTGTCATTGGTGGACACTGCGAGAGGGAGTAACTGGACGGGATCTGCGCTCTGCAAAAGTGGCGGCGCGGCCGATTGGAACGTGTTTGGACGACAATGCGCGAAGCCGTCAATGGATGGCGGGAATGCTAAAGTACACTCGCGCAGTCACGTCAATCCAACTCTATAACAAGCTCCGAAGTGCGTGATTTTGCGCACGTCATTATTTCTTCGCCCAGGACACTTTTTACTCTTCCGAGGGAAACAACAGCTTCCACAGCCTGCCGCAGCCATGTCCCCGAATGGCGCAGAAGAGCTCTTTGACCAGATCGCAGAGTCGTACGAAGACGCTTTCAAAGGGAACAAAGGCTTATATCAAGCATTAGATGGGTTGAAGTCATGCCATGAATCTGCATCCACTGTGTTGGATGTGGGATGTGGCCCCGGCGGACCAGCTGCTTACCTTGCCCAGCAAGGATACAAGGTCACCGGGATTGATATTTCTCAAAAGATGGTGGACTATTGCAATGTGCATATCTCCGGTTCATTTGTGAAAATCTCCATGACTGAATACGCCCCGAGTGAAGAGTTTGACGCCGTCATCTCGATTCTCTCATTGCTTCAACTCCCATACCAGACCATCCACTCGATGCTTTTCAAGATGGCATCGTGGCTACGCCCAGGCGGGGTTTTCATCTTGGGAACCATCGACCCCGAGGAGTATCGCGGCGGGGAGTGCATGCCGAGAGTGACGTCCGAGTACGTAGAAGGGTATACTGCGCCCTTCATGGACACTACCGTCACCGTTACTCTGGTCACGACAAAGGGGCTACGCGCGATTATCGAGCAGAGCGGCCTTGTTATTCGCAGCGTGGAAAAGCATTCGTTCATGCCTACAACCGGAGATAAGGAGGAGCACGTTTATATAACTGCCCAGAAGCCTATCCAAAAGCCAAGCGATAGGTAAACAGCGGTTAGAGATAGATATGTTAGTGTTGATAGGTCTTTGTATTATTAATATAAAGAATACGAGATGGTTCATTCATTCAGTTTATGACGCCCGGTGGAGAAGTCCATGAGGACAACTACAAGCCCATGCTATGTATCCAATCTGAAGCTAAGCTGTTACTCAAAAAGCCCATGAGTCATGACATGAAGTGTCTGCTCCTCAATAGCTACTGCCTTTACTGTCGCGCTTTCTCGTGAGTGGTAGTTTCTGGAGCGGCCTTGCCTGAGGTCTCTTCCCAAGTGTTTAGTACATATCCTATTTTCGGCAGCTAAAGCGGTGTCTGCTACATCAGGCACGAGATGTGAACAGGTGGGCGATAGGTTAGGCGTGAATTAATGGTCGTTTAGTGTTGCAATCTGTGCGCGGTGCTTGTTCGCGGTTACCTTGTCTATCACAAAGACAATACTGGCCACGGCGGTGGCTTCCCTGGGTTGTGTTCCAGTGATTTGCATGCGCGCACGAAGCGTATTAGTGCTGCTGGCAGTGCAAGCTGCCTGGACGGGGCGCCGAGCAGCCAGTGTAGGTGACTCAAAAGGCAAAGCCTTTTCCTGCACTTGTCCATCTCTTGGCGGGTCTGGAACAGGCTGCATCCCAAGCCCACTCAAAAGAAAAAAAAAAAAAAGAAAGATTACTGTATCGAATGGAAAGACATGGTGGCAAAGACATAAGGGAAAAGTAGCTCTCAGCTCGGGTCGCACTGTGGGGCTAAGCCCAATTAAGCCAGAAACCTGCTGGTACCTGCCACTACTTACATGCTAGCCGAGTCAAGAAACGCCATGCCCACAGCTTTTACCAATGATAGACGCCATTTCTAGATGGCTAGATACAAATTAAGTAGCCTAAAGTACCCGCCACTTTTGGCTACAGTAGCTTAGAAAGAGGGACTAGTTTGAAAAGCGGAACACCTTTTTGCCCATGACTAGCCTGGGTCACCAGTCCTACGGCGCAAAGCAATCTGGACGGAATTCAGTCGATTGTTGAACAAGCGGAGGATTGGGAACGACGAAGCGGCGCGACGTTCAACGCGAAGAAAACGGCAGTCATGCACTTCACTCGGAACGCACGCAAAACAGACGCAACACCCGTCATGATTAAAGGGCAGTCAGTCGAGCCCAAAGAATGCACTAAAATCTTAGGCGTGATCATGGATACTCGTCTCAAATTTCGACAACATATTGCGGAAGCCGCGTCAAAGGGACTGGAAGCGGCCATGGAACTGAAAAGGCTTCGAGGACTGTCAGCAAGGACGGCCCGGCAGTTGTTTGCAGCCACAGTGACCTCAGTAGTCGACTATGCTTCCAATGTCTGGATGCACGCCTACAAGGACAAGCTAGTAGGACCAATCAATCGCGTCCAAAGAGCGGGAGCGCAAGCTATCGTGGGCACATTTATGACGGTAGCAACATCCGTGGCGGAGGCCGAAGCGCACATAGTGAGTGCGCGTGAGCGGTTTTGGAAGCGGGCGATCAAGATGTGGGTGGACGTGCATACGCTTCCGGGAACGAATCCACTCAGCAGAATTACGAAACGGATCAAAAAGTTCTACACGACCTTTCGATCGCCTCTCCACCAGGTGGCGGAGAGGTTGAAAGGCGTGCCGCTATTGCAAATGGAGACGATCATCCCAGTATCGCTGGAACCGTGGAGAGGCCGCTTGAAGACAGTGATGGACAGATCAACGGACGAGGTATGCGCAGGGTGGACGGTAGCTGTTGCTGTGAGCAGTTCGGCGAGGAACGACATGGTGGGAGTTGGTGGGGTCATTCACACCAAGAGTACAGAACGCAACCACTCCAAGCAGGACGTCTTCTCTTTCACGCTCGGACCGAGATCAGAGCAAAATCCGTTTTCAGGAGAATTGGCGGCCATAGCATATGCGTTACGGAAGCTACCCGACAGCAATCGCCAAAATATCGCAATTTTCTCGCGCAACAAAGGAGCGGTGGCAGCACTGAGGGGACCCTACCAACAGTCCGGACAAGAATTCATCACATGCATCTACGACTCGGTAGAGAAGCTCGTTGGCAAGGCCAACACGGTGTCGGTAGGATGGGACTCGAACAACAACAACAAGATGTTGCAAGCGGCCAAAAGACAAGCAAAAACGGCCACGCGACAAGGCGCGATACCGGAGGCTTCATTCCCAGTGATGAAGACCACGACGTTGAACAACGAACAAAGTAAACTCGGAGGTGAACGATGTATACCCGAAGGGGTAGGACGATTCTCCAAGAGAATAGATGTGGCGTTGCCCGGGAGCCACACGCGCGAGATCTATGACGAGTGGTCATGGAGGGAGCGTTCTACACTTGCGCAATTAAGGACAGACATGGCAAGATTGAACAGGTATCTCCATCGCATCAAAGCAGTGCCCTCGGAGCAATGTACGTGCGGGCAGGCAAGAGAAACGGTCAAACATTTTCTTTTAGAGTGCCCGCAATGGGATGAACAGCGAAAAGAGTTACGAGCATGCACGAGCACGAGATGGGATGACTTGTCACACCGACTAGGAGGAAAGTCGACATCAGACGGACCGAACTGGAAACCAAACATGGGGGCAATCCGAGCAACGATACAATATACACTCGCCACAGGAAGATTCGACAATTGACAAGCCAAGAACTAGAACAGGCTTTTCATCATACCGTGTGGCCACATCCACGACAACATGACTAGCGACGCTTCGGTCGCTGCAGATAGGACTCCGAACACTTGAGGAATAGCCCTCAAGATAGTTAGTCATCAGTAGTAAACAACATGGAACGGGAGCTGCTGGGATGGAAAGATGAGGTGGAAGCGATCGGAGAACGACAGGAATCAGTGGAATGGATGAGGCGAATAGTCAAACAGTTACTTAGACATAAGTAGTGAGCCCTATTGGCGGGAAGCCACCGGGCGTAATAAAACAATAAATGAATGTAGTACGTTTAGATCATGGCGACGAATGGTTTTCCCGGCTCGAAGCTTAACTTCTGACGCTTCCTGGACTTTCCTTCCTTATCAGTTCAGTTTTGATGCCCGGTCGTCCTCTCGTGAGTCGAATGATGCGTGACTGTCAACAACAGCACTTGCACCGGCTGTCCAGTGTTTCTCGGTATGCCGCTACGTAATTAAAATCTGAACAGTGCAGAGTCTTGAAGTCTGAAAGTGTGCGCTCCGTGGGCCAGCTTGTGGAAGCAACTGTGTGCGGCGCTTAGAAACATGGTGCTACGGGTTTTTGGCGCTCGACCTTAAGTAGACCCAAAACAGAATGAATACCGCGCAATACAGATAATACCCATAGGTCCATAAACACAAATCTACCCAGGACATATTTAGAAAAGACAAATGATATATATGACGGCACATATTTCCGTCTCTAGACATCCGATACAATCAGCCATCAATGCCAAAGCTAATACCGATATGCCGGCTCTCGATGCAACTATGGGACGGACCGCCAACGAAAAGCAGCCCAGTCAATATTCAGCCCCGAAGCCACGGCGTGTTCGAGACTTGAAGCAGAACGAGACACGCTTACCTCACCCAAATGATACCTGGCCTTCTCAGCGGGAGGCAGCTCGCCAGCGTAACCCGAATGCGATCATGAGCCGCTTCGGCCCCAAGAACCGGTCTAACAGATCAGAACTAAGGTCCGGCTCCCGACAGCCGACCGACAAGGCGTGGAAGGGGAACTGCAGTGGCTCAGAATGGAGGAAACGCCGCCTTCGCAAACAAAAGATGAACAAACCGCCGGCCAAGCACAACAAAAAGCCTCGAGGTGGTCGACGGAAATGGCGGCCGCGTCGCAACCGACAGCTGAGCCCAGTGAGCCTCGACCCAGTGAGCGAACTCGTTCAGCTGTTGCAGAAATTGGAAATTTGAATCGCGTGTCATAGCTTATACGGGGCAAAGAAGGGTTCAATCTAGATATAACCCCGCAGCACACCAAAGCTTTCTGGGATATCTATATACTATTCTAGCTGGCAACAAAGCATTTATCCAATTGAAAAATAATTCGACCCAGTGAGCTGCCGTGATTTCCCTTGCCATAAAACGTGCGTGTTTAAAGCCGTGTTTAGCCAACAGTGTCAATTTTTAGCGGCCATGGCATAGCTCCAAGCCACGAAAGCAAACTTGGTTGTAAGTCGCATCGATTGGGCGCCAAGACAATCATGCGAATTGCCTGGCAAGTCAAAAGCTCACTTCAACTCAGAAAAAAATTCTCAGCAGTATTTGATATTTCGCCATTTTACTGCACAAGGGGTCTTAACCTTTGACTGGCCTACGCTACTGAATTGATAAGGCTGAGCTGGCAGCTAGTACACCTGGCCATAAGCGTCGCTATTTTCTTGGTGGGGGGACTTGCGGCCCTCCACAAACAGACCTGCAACCCCAGGAGCAAGAGAGCAAATTTTCACAGTAGTGGAGGATAAAACCAATATAAAATTAGTTGAACGGCTAGCCACGCGAATAGCTTTACAATGGAAAATATGATTCATTCAGCTATTACACTCATGGGCAAAATGGGCTTCTAGTTTTGATTAAATATTTACTTTTTGGACTAACTTCGATAGAGCTAGAAATGAGTCAAAATTTCTCAAAACGACCTTAAAATGAAGGCAAAACTCATTCAAACGCTTTTAGCCTCACCCCGAGGTTTTTTTTCAGTCGCAATACTGATGCGCAGCTGCCAGTTGGTGTCTGGAGGCTCAGATTAGCGACAAATGTGTTGAGATTTGGGGAAGGCCATTTTGCCCATGGCTGTAGGCATCTAAACACTATTCAATAAAACCATGACGAAGTCCTAGCCCTTTTCTGTCTTCGCAGTCGTGGCGCGTTACAAGTTGTTCCCCTGCCGGGTCCTCGGCGCCTGTGCCTCTTCCGTGTCAAGTTGGCTGGTGTTACCAATGCAGCATTCTTTGCCGCTTGGATGTGGTCGATGGAGGGCGTTTTATCTGTCGGTAGCTGGAGGATGTCCAAGTCAGGCGTTGACAATATGTCGAGAGCCGGGAGGCTTGCCCTCGTCGTACTCGTAGGCGAGACAGATGCCACATTTGAAGAGCTGGAGGCGCTAGCTGCCGAAGGTTGCTGAGAAAGAGTAGCTCGCACACTTGAAGCATACCGGCGGAATTCTCCAAAGTCGGGCTCTGTAGGAAGGTTTGCAGCCACGATTTGATCCACGCCATACTCGTTCCATTCGGGACAGAGGTCATCAATGGTTATGAATATACTCCTCCCGTCTTCCGTTCCCGTGTAGATTGGAATTTGAGTGGCAGAACTCTTATTGCCGGACAATTTTTGCGTCATATTTGCGAGCATATTTTTAGCAATTGCTTCGGATCTTTTGACTTTGGCGAAATAGGACAAACGCTTGGCAGAAGGTCTCACGTCCTGTGACGCGATGCAGAAAGTCTCTGAAGGCAGGCGAGTGCCAGCTGGGGCATTAGCGACGAGACACGACTATTTATGCCTTCAAAACTAAGCAAAGAGGCCAGCCTCCTACGCGCCTGAGTCCTAGCGCCTTGCATTGTTCATGCTTCAGACGTCAGTTTTTTGCTTCCATGCCATCTTAGTGTGTGGTGAACGGGACCCAAAACTGCGCTTTCAACAACAGCTATTTTTGGTTATCCCAGCTAGTTTACCAAAGTACGGTAAGAGCTACAGTACCAGGCCAGTATGCATAACTGATCTCCTGCCAACATCACAGCGTCGCTCCTCCTCGCCTTTTGCTTCAGCAATGCTGCTGTGGCTTTCTGGCCGTCCAGACATGTCTAATTTTTTTTAGCATCGGCTCTATAGCGACAAAGGCTGGACTTACAAGTTGAAATATGCATGAAACCGCAAATTGCAGCTTTCTTGCTTCACTCGTTCCTGCAGTTTTTTAACTTCGCAGATGGTCATTCGGCACTTTTCCACCAACGGCACCAGGCTCATCGCCTCTATACCGTTGATGAGGCAAACATTGAACCATTTGGCAACCAGTTTCTCGCGCGTGTCATTGCACCAGGGGCTCACGCAACAGCGAATTACCGTCTCCTGAAAGCCCACATAACCGACAGCTTCGACCATGCGCTGCACCCTCCGGCTGGAAACCCTAGCGCTACGCTGAAATCCATCCATTCCCTCCAAGAACTTCTGCGACCACTCGGCTAAAGCAGAGCTCTCTGGAATATCGGCACTTTCCCATCGAGGCTCCCAATCGATTTCAACCTGCTCGATGTTACCCCCCGGGATTGTGTGCCTGTTGGTAGTCTGAGTCAAGGCAGTCATTGGCAGCGTATTTGATCAGCTGGGCTAGGACTTACTCAAAAGCCTTTTGATATGTGGCCTGCCACGCATCGTTGTGGATGCTGCCTAAGAGGAGCCTCATATGTACTAGATCACAATTCCTGAAAAGCGGCGTCCAATTGGCATCTTCAATATTGAATTGCATCGTGGTCAGATTAGGCGGGATACTAGATCTAGTTAGCAGACGCAGCATGCGGCTATGTCGGATGTTGGCCAACAAAGCTGGTTGAATTCTATGGAGGTCAACTGCCATAATATGGGACTCTGGGAGGAAACTGTAACTTCAATTAGCGATAAAAGCACATGCATGCGGGTTGGCTCTTACTCTTCGGCCACTTGAATGGCCCAAATGCCTGTCCCAGTTCCAAGATCCAACACACGTGTTGGGCTACCGCGCCTCACGGGGTATGAGAAAGCCTGCCCACCGCGCGCCAAAAGGAAGAATTTATTCAAAATGTCGAGTCGTTTTAGTTCTTCCTGCACAAACTTGTTAAGGCTATACGGAATCAATTGAGAAGAAAACCTTTGTGTGCGTACAGCGTCGATGGGTAACTTGTATGCGTCGTTCCAGGCCCCATAATATCGGCCATATTTCCAAAAACCTTCATCATGAGCGAAATTGGAGTTGATCATGAATTTGCAAGACTGTGGAGAGGAGGTTGCCATTTCGAAAAAAAAAATTGCATGTTGGATGATGTGACTTTTTCCAGGAGCGGGTTAGGGCGCAGTATTTAACTGCACTTATTGCCTGCAGACGGCTAGCTACTGTATGCCGAGCCGCGGTGTCGATAAGTCAAAAACAGCACTAGCTGGTTATGCTAGCCCTGCTGAGGTGGGGACTACGTCACTGGCCAGCCTGACCTTGGTTCCTACGCTTGCATCTACAGTCTTTGCAACACAGATCTATAACCATAGAACGAAAAACTTCTGCACACTATGAACTTTGCCAAAATGGGTTTACTTCCTTTCGGGCTATATTTTGCCGCACGCCGGATCTGCTCCCCCGCTGGCGAGACACATCACCTAAAATACGCCAGGCTCTGTGTATGAACATATTTATAGAGCGGCGGACTGTTGTTCTGTACACAACCGAGCCGAGACCAGTATGTGACTATTTCACCAAGGTCGTAGACATGAACTGGGGAAGCCGAGGCGAGACTTTCATCAGCGTTAGGCATGGTGAGGCGGATTTTATTGGCCGTTATCATGCTTACAAGTCAGGGCGCGAACGCGGCGCCCGGGGCATATCCGCCAGTCCACCTCACCAGCAGCACCCACCAGGCTAGCCCAAGTCAAGTACTCAAGATTAGGCGACTCTCCTCCGCACACCAGAGCATAGTCACTGGGTCTTCCATTGCTCTACGTCGTCAATCCTTCTTCCACAATTTCAGCTCGATTTCTTTGTACATGCCAGTCATGGTGTTCAGTATAGCGTCAGGTTTCAGGTCATCCCAGGTGTAACAAAGGGCATCCAACTGGATTGGGATGCGTACAAGACCCTGGATGAGCCAACGCTGTTGAAGGAACGACTAGACCTTGTCGACTTTAGTCTGATCAGTTTCGGCCGTTTTTAGATTCGTGAAAGATTTTTTGATATACTCGTTCACCTGATCGGGGCCGATTCCAACTGTTTCCAATTCGAGGTGCAGGTTCGTACGAGGCTTGGCGGATGGTCGGGACGTGATTACGACGTTAGGCTGACTCAATAGCTCGGCCAGGAACCGGGGCATACTGCTGTCGCCCGTTAGGTCCTAGGATACTTCGTCCAGGCCGTCGAGGAGAAATAATGTCCTGCTGCTTTTGGTTTCTAATGCGGGAACAGCGCTCCAGTGAGGTTCTGTCCATCCGTTGGCAGTAAGAACTCATGACTAAGGAGATCATAAAGGGTGTACTTCAGTATGCTGCGTCTCTCTAGCAGCTTCAGGTTTCGCAGAGGCACCTAAAGCACGCGGTCGAATAATTCGTTCTATTTGCCCCACGTGCCCTTAATAACTTCGTGGACAATCTTTTTGCATAAAGTAGTCTTGCCGACGCCCGCACGTCCTTAAATTAATATTCTTTATGGATGCATCGGTCGGCCGTCGCTTCCGTCGCGTTCGTTAAAAATTGCTGCCAACTCAAGCTGTAGAGTCTTGTTGGATGCCTCGACCTTCTGTCGAGCGCAGATGGAAAACGGCGACGGCGCTATGTCCCCTTCCGTTTTTAGGTAATCAGCGTCGCGGCCAGATTGTTCCACGATGGCTAGGTTAATGTAGCACTGATCCATTAACAGCGGCTCGCCCGAGAGTCGCTTAATCTTAAGTCTGTCCGCTGTGTAGTGTTTGTTACGGATCTGCGTATCGGCTTGCTCGAGCAGCGATGGGGTTTTCAGGCGTCGTATCGCCGCTGCCAGTTTCGTGAACAGCGTATCGGTCGGCCCGCCGCGCTTGTTAAGACCGGAAAGATCCGTCTCGATGCTATGGCTCTCGTCGGCATCGGCGTGGACATTAGAAGAATCCCGTGAAACCACCTACAGAGTGTTAGGCGGCTCCCGACAAAGAAATAAACACACTTACAACGCTTAGCGATAGCCCGAGAATATACGTTTTCTTAGTCTCGTAGAATAATATGATCGGAACCTTCTATTAGCGACTTTCGTTTGGGGTTATACGAGAGCGGAATGCGTCCGCAAAGTTGCTGAGATCGACCCCATGATTGTTCAGAGACAGGAGCAGCGTCGTGTCCGATCCTAGGAAACCGGTCGCAGAGGCCAGCACAGCGCCAGCACCAGAAACCGACGAACCTTGATGAGGGGCTCCAAGAAATATAACACCCGCGGTATCATCAACGATGTCTTGGGAGTCACGCCCACGCAGAGCCTTGTAGAGGTCAGAAGACATGAAGTTTAACAATTGCACACCGCCATACCTGCTTAATGATGATACCACCTAGGCTGTGTCCGATGAAGATAATAGGGAGATGCTAGTAGGAGCGTTAGCCATGTCCAGCCATGGGCGTCGTGATACTCACGGGGGATAATCGCTTTTCCCTGATCTGCTTTAACAGGCATCTGCCAATCTCCTCGGTGGTCTTGACGGGGGCGTCAATCAGCCAGTTGGAGTCATGGGCAAAACTCCAGATCATTGTATCAGGGAACTCATCCGCCCGTCGCAACTCGCATGTCCCCTTCGTTGAGCATTTCCTCACCAAGGTAAAGTAGATAGTAAAGAGATCTGAGTCATGTGTTAGTAGATTCCAGGGTAACATGTCGCATTGCTCTGAACTGTACCGTTCGGCGAAACCTCGAGGGCCAAATGCGGCGGCAAAAGGCGCCGCGAGTGCCAGCATAACAACAGCGGCGAACTTCATGACGGCTGCCGTAAGTGACGCGGGGACAGATCGCAAAATGGAAAAGGTGTATGAGAACTGAGTAGGAGAAGAAGAGACGGAAAAAGGCTACTTTCTGTTATTTGCCAATCATAAACGAGCAGGAGGGCCTATGATGGCGAGCTTTGAAACTCGTGCTGTCCAACATCCATCAATACCGAAACGCGTGTCAATGCATCTCGGCTTTTTGAACTATCCAGCATATAACACGATATACCATAGAATTTGAAGAATCATGCCGAAGTTCTTAAAAATGGCCTGTCAGCTGGCTCCAAGTTCCCACCAACACTATTCCGAAGCCGACTGTGGAAATGGTAGATATCGCGAGATTACCACCAAAGTCGTCAAAGTGCTGCTCTTGAAGTGTCCCGGCGCTGTTTCCTCTTTAGTCAGTGGGAAAGACCCTGCAGACGCCATCAATATCTGAGAACATTACATTAGACCCAGGGCCCCAACGGCGGCGAGCCGTGCGGGGCAACTGTTAAGATTGCTGGCCCGCAACGTTTTTTTTTTCTTCACCGATATTTCCTGGCTTCTATGGCTTACACTCGTGATTCTTATTGCTCTTTTCGGTCGCATTCATGGGCAATTGCGGCCATGCCAAGAATCCGCCTGCACAGCGCCCTGTCAGGGACCATCGAGGTAATGGTCCATCTAGCCCGTGAGTCTGGAATTGAGCTGATTACGCGTGTTTCGCTATTCAACAATGGCTCATATTAGCCAGACATAGCCGTTGCTGCGCTTATAACTATCAGTCTTGCCTTGTACTTATCGGCGTCACGTGGCACGTTCTTTCCCTGCTTTCTGTCGGGTTGCTCTTTCGCAATGCGACGGCAACTTCCCTTCTCCGCGCTCACTCTGGTGACGCTTCTTCTCGCCGCCAAGGCTCAAGAATCTCATGGCGTCGAGACTGAGACTATTTATCAGGATTCCATTCTCAATGAAGCGCCTACTGTCGTGGGTAACAAGGATTACCTGGAAGAACCTCCCGAAGACCCGCGCACCTTCTACTCTGACCTGCACCCATGCCCTCGCGCATGCGATGGCAAGCACTCGGACGAGTGGGATCTTTTCACGTCTATCGGTAGACTCGAGTACTGCATAGAGCCGATGCTCATCGATGTGGCGCTTTACAATCCGCTGGATGATAAAGAGACCATCACAGCCATACGTGCCTGCACTCAAGGCAATGCCAACAGTCGCGTCAACGCCGCTTTCGGACTCTCTGATGTGCCAGAGTTTCATAATGCCTCTTTTCTCAACCGCCGCAACATCCTAAGTCGACCTCGGCGCTCATCTCTCGAGTGTCCCGTGGGCAAAGACAGATCAACGGTGATTCAGCTCAGCATGTCTGGGTCAAGCCCAAATGATGGTCATCTGGATGCGGCCGTCTTCTTGCTCCATCAAGTCTCAGAGCTCTTTCAAGAGAGCGCTACTTGTCACACAAAATCGATGCTTGGATACTTGAATGGTACTGTCGTGGGAGTTTATGCCGGAACTTCCATCAACAAGGCTTCCGTGCACTCCGTTCTGGAGGAGATTACACCTCGTCTTACAAAAGAAAGAGTCGCCAATGCTACAGCGCAGATTTGCGACTCGAGCGGGAGCGCAAGCGATGTTGTTGGAGTTGCTATATTTTCAAATGGTGATCTCGCGGCGGTGCAGGACTCTCTGCGGCTTTGGGACCGCGTTGACTGCGCTGCGAATCTTGCATCGGCTCAAGAGCTTCCCGTGGTGGTTCAGGCTGAAGCACATCTCGCAATCAACCAGACAATGACCAGCAACACTGCATTGTACATAAATCATACCGGCTCTCATGTATCTGAGTTGACACGTCGCGGGTCGTGTCAGACTAAAGAGGTTCAAATGGGAGATGACTGCTGGAAGCTGGCAGTTAGTTGTGGCATTTCGCTCCAGAATCTCAAAAAATACAACCCCGACAAGGGCTTGTGCGATGGTGCGGGCGGTCTCTTGGAGGGAATGCAAGTCTGCTGTTCTGAGGGAGGTTTGCCGGATCGCAGTAAGAAGCCTGACAAGGACGGGTAAGTTGCACCCAATCCATGACATCAACAAAGACATCTTACTCAACAACATCTCACAGATATTGCGCATCATACTACGTTCAACCAACCGACACTTGCGCCAAGATCGCCACGGCAAACGGCATCACGACATCAGACTTGGCCAAATTCAATGAGGGACGACATGGGACATGGGGCTGGGCTGGTTGCGGCGTCAATCTCCAAGCCTACATAAACATTGTGAGAGTCTACGATATTTGTTGAAAGGATGTTGTCGCTAACTCGAGTTGCTCAGTGTGTCAGTGAAGGACTACCACCAATGCCAGCGCCAATCGCCAATGCGGTATGTGGCCCCGTGAAGCCAGGCAGTACGCGTCCAACTGGATCATCTGCAGGCTCTCTTCTCGATATGAACCCGTGCCCGTTGAATGCATGCTGCAACGTATGGGGAAACTGTGGTCTTTCGGATGACTTTTGCTTGGATGAACGCGGACCAACAGAAAATCCAGGAACGTCACCACGGGGGAAAATTGGGTTAGTATTCTCACGCACCTATCGTTCAACTGGCCTCACTCTGAAACTCGAATCAGCTAACCAAAATTAGTTGCATCTCAAATTGCGGAATGAGCATAGTCAGCTCCGGACCGCCTGCAGCGTATGGTCGTGTTGGCTACTATGAATCGTGGAACTTCGAGCGCAATTGCCTCTATCTCAAGGCAGAGCATGCTAATACGGGCGGAACCTATACAATCATCCACTGGGCCTTTATGGAAATCGATACTGAAAACTGGAAGCCAAAGATCAAGGACCCTCATGGGCAATGGGAAGGTTTCAAGTCTCTGACTGGCGTCAAAAAGGTTATTTCATTCGGCGGTTGGGGTTACTCAACTGCGCTGGAAACCTATGGTATCCTACGCCAGGCAATGAGCCCTGCTCACAGGCTTCAGTTTGCGGGAAACGTTGTCAAGTTCATCATCGAACATGGTCTAGATGGTGTTGACTTCGACTGGGAGTACCCTGGTGTAAGTTTGGGCAGATTGCCCCTGTCTCTTCTGAAATCACTAACGCCGCCAAAACTAGGCCACTGACATTCCAGACACACCACCCGGCAGCCCTGAAGATGGCCAAAACTATTTGGCTTTTTTGATCCTCATGAGTAACAAGATTCATAGACAGCCCCCGTATCACTACACGCTTTCGATAGCCGCACCGGCGTCTTTCTGGTACCTGAAGGCGTTTCCGATCGAAGTGATGTCTTGGTACCTTGATTACATTGTGTATATGACATACGACCTGCACGGGCAATGGGATGCGGAAATCAGTGGTCAAGTGAGGGCTGCCCAGCTGGAAACTGTCTCCGCTCGCATATCAATCTGACCGAGACTGAGACGGCACTAGCTATGAGTAAGACTTCGCACTTGATGTTTGCTGATGAATATCTTATTGACCGTTTGCATACAGTAACCAAAGCTGGCGTCCCGTCAAAGAGGATCTACGTTGGTGAAGCCAGCTACGGCCGCTCTTTTAAGATGAGCCATGAGGGTTGTGACGGGCCAGACTGTTCTTTTGAAGGCGACCGGATGCACTCGCAAGCCGCCCCGGGCATCTGCACCGACACTTCGGGCTACATATCCTATGCCGAAATTTCTCGCATCATTGAGAATGACTCTTCTTAGTATATCGGATTGGGGAAGTTAAAGTCCATGTACATTGGTTCGCCCCCATGGTATGACGGTGATCCATCGGCATCGTGCCATCGTACATCCTCCCACACAATCTTGTCGCTGGAAACGGCTGTGCCGGCCAACAAGGCGGCATAAAACGCGTCGCTTTTGCCCTCCTTCAACGTCCATCTCGTCGATGACCGGATGAGGTTGTCCTTGTCTGGTTCATCAGAGCGCTCGGAAAAGTCAGGCGGGCATGCAAAGTCCTTCTCGCAGAAGCGAAATTGGTGTAGAGGATCAGGGCAAGGAATATTCATCTCCCAGCAGATCATCGGCAATACTGTGGAACCACAAACGTAATCTTCACAGTACCGGCAAAGGCGGGTTTTGTCCCGGTTTTTCCCTTTTATTATCCAAGAATCCCAGCAATGCTTGCATGAATCGACAACTTCTGTTACCTGGCAAGTGAAGAACTCGCTGGCATTCTTGTACATGAATTCCTTGACAGTATTCTGTGCGCCGTTGGCAACAGCCTCTATGATCGTAGTGGTCCTGTATCAGCTCGTCATGCTTGGAAATGGAGTCTTTTAGGATAGCTGATAGAGCCACAAGCGTGTACTCGTCCCGGCAATGCAAAGGGATGCTATCCCTGTCTTTTTCAATGTCTTCGAGACTGGCATACGTCTCTTTGCACTCACCAGGACTGATGGTTCCGCCCTCAAACTCGTCGGACCAATCCTCACCGTGGCCAAAGGATCCATCGTCAGAGTGGTAGCTCATTAGGTCAACAGCCCAATCAATGGTTCCGGCAAAGTTCTTGCCCTTCCAAAAATTGCGTCTCGTGTCCTTGGTGGTTGGCGTCATGTATGCTACCCACTCAGTCTCCTGATAGACCATAATGTCCAGCAAAACAAATACGCCGGCCTCGTCGGCGATCTGGTGGACGCACTCTCGGTACCAATCGTCATGGCACAGCAGTCGGTTGCCAACATGCAGCGGGCCAACGACATTGGCCAAAATATTGACGACGAGCAAAAGAAGAACTTTATCATCCTCTTTCTCACCGCCATTCTCTTCTTCATTCCGTTTGTCGGAGAGATCGCCGGCACCATTGGTGTCTTGGCCGGCGTCGCTCGCATCATCACTCTTGTCGGCGAGCTTGGAGCAGTCGGGCTGGACATTTACTCGCTCGTGGACAGCAAAGGCAAAGATCCATTTGCCATTGCTGGCATTTTGCTTGCGCCTCTGGCTCTGTATGACGTCGCTGCTGTTGCGGCGGCGGCGGCGCTGCGGAGAGGAATGAAGGAGAGGCAAATTACTTCCATTGGCAATGAGGCAAAGCAGACGCTGGACAAGATTGACCGCATCTAAGGTCGTAAATCGGGTGCCAGGGCAAGCTGCCCGGTGAAGAGGGAAGTTGAACTGATCAAGGTCGCATGGGATAATGCACTACTGAAGAGCAGCTTGAATGACACGCCTGTGGTGATGAGCGGCCTTGAGTAAACGTGCAAGATTGCCAGTATTCTGGTGTTCTAGACGCCATTTCTACTCTCATTAGTCAAGGACTAACATTCTTTCATTTATTCAAAAAAAATCTTTTTTTTTTCTGTCAAGAAACGAAGTTGTGAGACATGTCGGTGATATCGGGTTACGAATCGGCCCATTTTCAACCTTCGGGAATAGCCTCATTATCCAGCGCGAACTCCTTGAATATGGATCTTGGACTATTGACCGTCACGTGCCAGTCCAGAAAGAAAATTGCTCCTCCCGATACTGGATATTAACAAAATTCTCCCCAAACCTATAAAGGCCACCTTGCCCTACCCCACCCCTGTGAGCCAAAGTCGACAGCTACATCATCAACCCCAGCATCGATTTCCTCATACGACGGACCCTGCGGTACTAGATTGTGGATTCTCAAGATGGGCAGTCTCTGCGGTTTCCCTTGTCTCCCTGCCGAGATCCGCCATCAGAGCTGGCTCCTCTCCGTGCCCGACGACCAGCCCGAAATCTGTCTCCCCTGGCCCATCAACGTGCCCGTGTGCATGCACGGCACAACCGAGCCGCTCTACACGCTCCCGTGCCAGCCGCTCACCGTCGACGTGGCGTTTCCCGTGGCCATGCACGTGTGCCGCGAGAGCCGCCGCGCGGTGCAGGACTACCTACACTTTCGCGCGTCGGAAGCGGCAGGCTGCGCGACGCCGTTTCGGCGCTTTCGGCCGGAGCTGGACGTGCTGTTTCTGGGGGACTGCGGCATTCTCTTCATGGACATGTTGGTGTGGCCAGAGTGCAGCGTTTTTGATTCGTATCAATCACCACCCGTGATGGAGGATTGCCAGCATCGAAACAGGCAGTGCACGAGGTTGATGGAGACGTTGTGCGCAACGCGTCGGTTTGCGGTGGCGGCGGCGTCGATGCCTGGTCGTGACGAAATGGTCAAGACGTTCTTTTCAAAGGTGTGGGCATGTGCCAAGCCCCCGAAACCGACCAGCTTTGAGCTTTGCTTTGTCGTCCCGACTACCAAAGACCTCAACGAGATGAGTCCAGACGACGTGCATGTCAATTTTGTGCCGCCAGGGCGGCGATGCCGTCTAGCGAGTGTTGACAAATGCGACTGGGGTGGTGTGCTGGTACCAACGGACACTGTGAGATCCAAGCCGCTACGGACGTTGGAGGCAGTTGTCACAGAGTCGGTCAAAGGAATGAGGGCCGCCGAGGAAAGGAGGCATATCGGTGAGTTTTTTTATGTGGACAGAGTTTTTTTGATTTCATTTCCGGGTGGAGTTTCTAATCAAGAGGTGGGGCAAACCCAAAAAAAAAGATGCTCGTGTAAGGTTTCCCGGACCGTATATCACGGACCTCATCGAGGCGACTGCAGGGACGTTTGTGGAATACCAGCGGGATGGGACGTGGACCGAGGTTTGCGCGGACAGAATGTACAACAACGGGATGATGATACTGGAAATACCGCCGGAGGAACGACCAGACCCCGAAGTCCAGAGGGTGTATGACGTGGACGTTGAGTTGCGACTTGCCCGATGGGTATGACCGCGCGCGCTCCCGCCGGCTATCTGTGTCCGTTGCTGACTTGGGAGACAGGATGTTTCCGATGATGAAACCGAATATTCCGATGATGAGTAACGAATGAAATGTCAATACATGCAGAGGGGCTCGGCGTATGTTTCTTATATTATGGCGTCGAAATTGCGAGGGTGAAGAAAAAAAGTGCTGCTTTTGCGACAGCTAGGAAGATGTAACCGCGATAGAGTTGCAATGTGGAAAATGGCGAGCTTTCAGAGTAAACCTGCCAGGCCCCATGAAACCAGTTCGGCGTCCTTGCGCGCTCCCGTTTGTGAAAACATCGAGAACAACGCCCATGATGTGCTGCCACCCAACTATCAAGTGTCGAGCACAACGTTCTTTTGCGATTGAGTTTCATTCCTGTATCTGCAGTCATGCCACAGATCAAGAGAGCCGCTCGTGCTGCAGTAATTGCGCCGCAGACTTGCGCCGTCGGGTCGATTTCCAGCATACCTTTAATCAAGTCGATAAAAGCACCAACTTCAGTCTCTCGCATATCAGGGGGCCTGCTAAAGGGCTTCCCTTGGCCATTAAGCAAGCGCTCAAGGCTCGTCGGCTTCAAGCTAGGAGTCTGAAGAAGCTTCCCTAGCAATGCAAACATGTCAGCAACACAGCCGAGTGGCAGTGCGATGTATATTGGGGGGTTTACCTTGCTGATCAAAAAGTTGTGCGGAGCGACGTCCTCTCTCATCAAGTAGGCTGGGCGGAAACGGGCCGAGGACTTGCATGATTTTTGCCAAGCGGTCATCTTCGGCAGTCCAGGTCCCCCTTTCTGATGCTTCTCCGGAGAAGAGAATTATGCCTTGAACAAACTCAACCACCTTGTTTTGTGTGTTCGAAAGCCGTTTTACGATGGTGGGGCCGGCGGCACCCCAGGCTCGCCGGGCCGCACCCGATTAAAACCAAATATAAAGTAAATCTAGTACAGTACAGTAACAATAACCAGTGTAGATTTTGTTACTAGGAAGCCATATCTTGTTGTAATAAAACACCTCTAGAATGCGAATTTGTGCTCCCATCCGGTCATGACCACAACATGACGAACAAGTGGCTTCGTGATAGCAGCTTGATAGCTGCGGCTACCGCGACAACTTGCGTACTTGCAAATGCAAAATAACCAACCTTCCTCTTGCATCTACACTGGTACCCACCTTTGTAGAGAGAATTTGCAGCCACCCAAACGCACACCCAGTAGACAGCAGCACCGAGTGACCCGTTCAGCGCTCTTGCGCAGCCGTGGGCAATGGCGATTGACCAATCGTCCACGCCCGCGACCGGCGCGAGGGGCCAGACGGCGCCTGCGTAGATAAATACAAGTCCAAATAGGTACGCGGAAAGCTACCAACCGTCCGGCGTCGGCGTGGGAGAGAGCCAAACCAATTGGACAGAAATTGGCTGAATCAGGCGCTAACACCCGTGGGTTTAAAAGGCACATAGCCGCAAAGGGCAGAAAGCGCTAAACGGTTGGAGGAATAAATGGACAAGTGACAAAAAGCCGTTATCCACGAAGTAGGTTGCTAGAAACTGTTGCGCAGATAGTCTATTAACCCACTCTCTTTGCCACGGGCGTCTTAATTTCCCGGGACCACCTCATAAATCATCTAAACATGTAGCAGTTGCTATCGGAGGGGATGACTCCCGCGCCGTCCACTGGTGGCGCCCGCCTCGCCGCAAATTCCGTGTTCAACGTCATCGCCAGTCAGTCCTGGCCAGCACCGGCTTAGCCCTGCTCTCCCGCGCCGCCCCAAAGGCTCATCGTCTGAAGCGCAACCAGGGAGCCCCGATGAATATCCTTATGACGAAGTAGAATGGCGCCGCCTCACGAACCAGCAGCAGTATGGCTATCAGTCGCTTAGCTCGCGTTCGAGCCCGCTACAGATCAACACAAGACTCGAGTATTTCCCGGAGGAAGGTGTCTACAATCACGGCACTCGTGGTGATCAGTTGGTCCTAAGGACTATCCATACACATCACGGCCATCCGGTGTCGCTAGAATCCGAGTCAGTTGACCACGAGCACGACCCGCACCGTGACACATTGGGCGGCCTTCCACAACGAGGCTCAAGACCAGGATCTGTTGCAGAGAGCACCGTATCCTTAATCCCTATTTAAATAAGCCTTTTGATGTGAGAAAACAGGAGATGGCCAACTTCGTTCTTCACTTCTGCGGCGGTGGACGATGAGCTTCCACCTCCACGTGGTGCCCGCTGGGAACTCGCAGAGAAACAGTCCGATTCTCTGCGTGCCAAGAGCAGCTCGATGAACCCTCATCTCGCATGTCATGATAGATGATCGATACACTCATGGGCAAAATGGGCTTCCCGTTTCGGTGAAGTATTTAATTTTCCAAGCAACTTTGATGGAGTCAAAAGCTTGTCAAAATGTCTCAAAAAACAACCTTAAAATGAAGGCAAAACCAAACTCATTTAAACGCTTTCATGCCTCACGACCATTTTTTTCTGGTCGTCATATTGATGCAGAGCTGCCAAATGGTGTCTGGAGGCTTACATTAGCAACGAATGTATGGAGATCTTGAGGAAGGCCATTTTGCCCGTGGCTGTAGCTACCAGGCGATTAGAGTTGATAATTGTAAGGGTCTTTCTGATCGACAAGGAATCCGTAGAAGACCAAGCGAAGCTCTCTAGTTCAGGACTGAGCTTGTCAATATCCAGGGACCATTTCGACCTGTGCGCCGCGACCCGCTTTAGATGAACGAGTCAGGCATCCATGCAGAAAACTGTTTATTGTGATCAATTTCTTGTTTGCAGCATTCGGCCAATAGAAGCCCTTCTAGGTCGTGACGAAAAGCTGACAGTATTGATCATCACAACGTTTGTTGACCAACAGCTGGGTGTAAATTTGAATCGCCGCTGTGAAGCGCAATGCTTGCCCTCCAAATGTTCTTGGAGAGCTCACCCAGGTCGCGCGGCGTCGCGCGACTGGCCGGACGGGCGAAGGATTTCTGCACGGTCAAGCTATTACCTGGATATTTACCTTCGCATCACAGCACTTAGTTTTGAGTATTCCGCGATATTGTTTTTATTGAAATCGCACAGGCATAATGGATCATGATAGAACCAGGCAGCGACATTGTTGGCTCTATTGAATATGCATTACTTTGCGTCATACTAATTCGGCTCGAAAAAGGCGGTCTTTTGCTATAGAAACATCTTCTCCAATGCCCGTCGTGTGACCCCTCTTCGATCGAAACGCCGCTGGCAATTTCACTTCGGTTTTGTCTAGCTCCACGGGCGCTTGCACGTTGAGGCGGCTGCACGAGCAATGACCTTTTTAAAATCGATAATCAACTATAGACTAGGTTCATAACCATATGCTATTGAACGCTCTTGACTCTTGGCCATGTGCGTATATCAACCCTAGCTTTCGTGACCTCCTGTGCCACTTATCTGAGCCAAATAAATGGACAATCAAGTTTTTCGCTTCTTGAACAGCATCATCGCCGCTCATTGACCGCTCGTATTTGGCCATGAGCGCTGAACAGCATCTCCGTTGTCACCAGATGGCGTTGTGGCTGCGTCTCCAACATCGGGTGAAAGATGAGCTACAAGGACTTGAGAGGGTAAGAACATCAACGGAATATCGGGAGAATTTCTCGCTGGATCAGTAGACTGCCCCAGCCGCGAATACTGCATTTTCGCACATCACCAAAGACACACCACGTCTAAGTCACAATTTCCATTGATCATGCGCAGCCCGGAGCTACGACGTACCAAAGCTCATTGGTTCAAGAAAGGCTGTCAGGCGTGAGAATCGGTTGATCTGTTTTTAGACTGGTAACGTTCTTTGGCTAGATAAGAGCCGACAAAGTACAAAATCGTCCCCGCAGGTATCGCTCGATGAGTCGCTCGCTTTGCTGTTATTTCTGACGCAAGCTCCGATATTCTTCTCGAAGCTCTTCACAAAGCTTGGTGTAGACTTCGCGCACCAGTGGCTCCAGATCCGGGTGATCTCTGATGATCATCTTCGCAACTAATGGCAGTACCTCACGTTTGTTCTCAAGATGTAACAAATTTGTGTTTTTGTAGAGGGGGCATTTACCCGCCTCGTTGTGTTGGGCGAAATGGGCATATCCAGCGTCACGGTTCGCACAGTCCAGATTCTTGCGGCAAACGTAGCTGCGAGCATTGTCAGTAAGTGTTTTGTTCATTGCGAAGCCGGAAAATACGATACCATTGCTTGTTTTCACATTTGCTGCAAACAATCTTGTTGCAGGCTTCTCGGAGAGTGAATGGAGTCTTGCATTTGCTGTAATAGGGTTAGCCGTGTACAACGAATGCATCGTGTGAGCGTCTTACTTGCACCTGCGTATGACAGCAACCGAGAGACACTCGTAGAATATAGCAGAAACTTTTGCTTTGAGATCGGAAGGAGACACGAATGTCGTTTTGTTACACTCATGTCCATGGTGCGCTTGACGTCGGCATCGTCTGCAACTCGCTAAACGGCAGTTGTGGTTCCGACAGCGGAAAATAGGTGCTGTCTCAATGTCAGGGTACTGCTCCGACCAGGGGCAGAACGGACATTTGGCGTCATCTTTGAGCACTAGCTCGAGGTCGCGTCGAATTTCGTCAATGACAATTTGTTCGAGAAGTGCTTTGCAATCAGGCTCGCCGGTTCGCGGGCCCAGGAATTGGAACTGTTCGGCAAGAAATGGAGCGGAACAGATACCCTGGCCCGTTTTGCATCGAATCGTGGCACTCCCTTGGCTGATTGTATATTTGGCCAGATTTTGTAGACAATCCAAGCAGTAGAAGTGATTTGTCGACCCTCGACATTGTTGCCCCTCCTTTGACGGAACAACATCGGAGCAAATTACACTGAACCTATTAGCATAGAACCGTAAATGTGATGGACTCATGATCGAAATTACCATGGAAAGCGCTGGGAGCTGTAGCCTTTGTTTTCATCCTGGTGATCGGCCTTGCGGTCACCGTTGACAACACCCGTATGGTCACCAAACTCTGACTCAAGGTCGGAGTCATCGGACTCGCTATCATCACTGATCGTGATGACGTCTTCGGACTCGCTATCATCACTGATCGTGATGACGTCTTCGGACTCGCTATCATCACTGATCGTGATGACGTCTTCGGACTCGCTATCATCACTGATCGTGATGACGTCTTCGGACTCGCTATCATCACTGATCGTGATGACGTCTTCGGACTCGCTATCATCACTGATCGTGATGACGTCTTCGGGCTCGCTATCATCACTGATCATGATGACGTCTTCGGACGTGTTGGAAGGACCGCGTGTTCTCTGTAGAAGTAGCTGCCGATGTGGACCGTCACTGCGGTGACTGCGTGCTGTGCATTCTGCGACGTATGTGTTCGCGGCCGGATGGATCTTCTTACTTGCGTGCTGCTGTGTTTTTGACTCTACTCCAATTGAGAGGTCTATCTGTGCCCTGCCGAGATAGTAACACCGGACACCGGTTTTTCGCGTATGGCTTTGTTTTCTGCCTCACGAACTTGTTTTGAGGCACGCCATGAACGTTTTTGACAGGGACACGCATGTTTCTGGGTGTGCTTCAAGGCTTCGACGCTGCGATTCTTGCTTCGATCAGGATTTTGGCTTGTGCTCTGGCAATCAGCTTTGTTTCGAAAGGAAACAAAGAGGGAATGAAGATTGGGGTGCAACAAGTCGTGGCCGCTGGGTGCCGTCTTATAGCTGCGTTGCCCTCACTCATTTTCAAAAATCACGCTCAATCTTACGCTGCAGCCGTCGCAATGCACGCAGCGAAGAACGCCTCATAGCCTTCGGACAACATTGAACAACGCTTCGTGGAGATTGGGTGAGGCAAATCGGTGAGTGGGCTCCTATGCAGTGCGAGCAGCCGAGGTGTTGCATTGTCTCCTGCGGACAGAAAGGCAATGACAATGCTGCGATCCATGGTATGAACGTTGACGTCAGGGTTTCCACTTTGGCAAAAGCCGAAACTGTGTGCACGTAACCATCTGGCAGCGTTTGCGAGTGCTGTCATTGAAGTCGCGACAGCATCTTTGCAGCTACCTTTGCTATCGGGCTCTTCGCGGATAGAATGGCAGCTCTCCCTGCTATCATCCTGAAAAGTTGGCAGCATGACGCTGAATAACCTATATCGATGCCCGTCAGCGGGATCACGCCGGCGTCTGGCAGTTCAGGAGTGCCACCGCGCGCGTGTCGCGCCAACGACCCACGGCCTTTGTCACCTGATCTCTGTACAGGGATCAGCGGGGACCAACGGGAGCGCTACCGTCAGCAATACTTCGCGTTTCGTTTTTTTTGCATTCTAGCCTAGACTGCAACAACAGGCAAACGCTAGCACTGCAAGGCGTTGTTGACCCCTGCTTGGTGCGATAATATCAACTCAGCCGTTGTATTGCGATGCTAATGGAAGAGACAGCAACAAACTGTGCACTGCTTCAGGAGAACCTTGTGATCTCCATTACGCAGATATTCGTACCATGTGTCAGCAACGAATCGGCTATGAATGCTGACAATTATTGAAGTTGGTCAGCCATATCATGCTAGAGCAACTGACGAGGCTGAGCAGACCCCTCCATGGAGACACTACTTACGACTCGGCATCCCCGACAGGATGCCAAAGACAGCTGCGCATGCCGCATGTCACCGGCCCGAGCTGGCCAGGGTTTGGCGATGACGACAATTCCCTTCGATCCATAACGCCACGTCCTTCTCCTGAAGCTGTCATCGGGAGCGAGGAATAAGTGGCATGGTCTCATAAGCATATCAATCCCGCGCGAGCTACATATGAACCGGAAGTCCTTCAACAACGTGCAGGCAAGAAGCAACCTACACCGACATTCAACATGCAGCGGATTGAGGCGTTAAAATATAGCTTGGAGCTCTTTAAGGACAAAACTTCTGCAGCATAAGATTGGAACATGTACACAGAAAGGCGTTTCAAGTGTCACTCTTTTGCTAGTTAACTTGTAACGAAATGGTGGATCTCGATCTGGCCGCTAGAGTTATCTGGTACCCTGTACCATTTTTTTTCCTGAGGCAAGAATGAGACTACATGGGCAGAAACTGATTGAATGCCGTATTTCTAGGCAGAAAAAAGCTCAGGATAGGAAGGGAATTTCTACTCCATCGCCGAAAGGTAATTTGGTCGTAACAGAGCAACAACTGGTGCATATATGGCAAACTAACGGCTGAGTTTAATCGCACATTTACCCCACGAAAAAGTTTCGGGTACCTGGTGGATATCAGGCGGCGCTACGTCACAGGCTAAAATGGCTGCCACTATTATTCTTGTTAACTAAAAGTGTGACATTTGTTTCGCCCTTCTCTGTAGCTTTCTTGCCGTCGCCATATATGCTGCGCGGGCCCACGTCCGTGTATCAACGAAGTCTCGGTGATTGACAGTTTTCACGACATTGGACACTAGTGATCGGAATATCGGATGACATAATATGCATAAATTTATTGGATGAGGCCCTCTCCGAGCAAGGTCTGTCAGACCTATCATTCCAAGACTGGAGTTGAAGTGTACACATGCGCATCTTGGAACCCTAAACCGGCGCTCGAGATGAGTCCATAGGACGGGGAGGGTGGCCATGAGAGTCCCTATAGGCGTGCTGTTTGAGAAAAAAACGCCATAAATGAATTTTGCGGAATGTCATAGCCACACGGCCGTCAGCAACCCTGCTCTGCCGGGGCTGCTCAGATAGTTGCAGCACGGTTTGCGATATGGCGCGAGCGCCGGGACAGCTCAATCATGACTGAGCTCTCGATGGAAAAGAGTTGTGACCGTGCATGCACAAGCACGGCCGGGGACGGGGCGTGATATGAAGATGGCAATGGACAGTTGTCTGTTCGCGCGTCTGCGAATAGTCGCTGGTCCAAGCGAAGGGAAGATCTGAGAGCTGATCCGCACAGAGAGGGGCCGGCAGGTTTGACTCATAGTATGCTGCCAGCAGCAGCCGGCAGCTTCCCGCCTGGCGTATAGCCGCTCCCTCAAGACCGCGGGTGGGGGAGATTGAGCGGGATGGCAACAGCGATGCTTCACGGTGAAATTGGCCGCTATTGAAAAACCGCTACCGCTGCTGCCTCGCTTGACGCTATGGACGGACCCGCTTGGATATCTTTGCTGGGCGTTTTGCTCGCTTGGACCAGTACTCGTTCAACACACCCGAGGCGACTTGCTTGACGTATGTCTCTGGCTCCCAAGTCGTGTCCCTTTTGCTGAAACCCGTCCATTGTACCTGTAGCCAGATGGCTTTCTCACCTTTCTCATTCTTGACCTCCTTATGCCGGTGAACCGCAAATATCTCATAAAGTGTAGGGTCGGGCATATAGACAGGTCGGGGGGTGGCCTTCCAAAGCCTTAGAAGTTGGTCAGGGTCGTCGGATTGTAGGTAAGCCGCCTCGCGGACAAGCTCATTTGCCGCCGTTTGATCCGACAGGCTTGAGATTCAATGACAGAATGCCTGGCTCAAGCCACTCATAACTTTCGTACGCCCAATTTCGACCGTTGTAATGAACCAGTTGTTTCGCATCGGTTGTGACCGATTGGGATTCAATTGTTGACACTCCAAGTTCGCTTCGATCAGGAAGGGAGTTGGACTTGCCCATCAACATTGCTCCGCCCGGTGCCTTTGGTGCAGTCGGCGGTGCTGATCCATTTGGTCTCGCTGGTTCCTCGGGCTGTTCTGAATCGTTTGGCGACGCTGCCCCGCTCGGCGACGCTTCCTCGCTCTGATGTGCTTCTTCCGTCGGCGAGTAGTTCAAGATCCGTATTAGCGATGCCATCCTGGATGCCGAAATGCTTGTTTATGATTGACGTTCTGGCTGTGACGGTCAAAATTTAGGTTATCGAAAGAAGATAATATGCGCCACAGCGCGTTGCGCAGCTCCTTGTTGCCGCCCCATAAATCTGCCTGAACTTTCAACCAGAAAACTGGCGCGTCAACTTCGCGCGTCGAGCGCACCTAGGTGTGTGGTTGGTTTTGCCGCCCTACAGCCTTCATGTGTGTATTTCCCACCACCTCTGGGCCGTGCCCGGTGTGAAGTCACGGCTGTCTTGCAAGTACACATCCCCGATCTGCACGAATGAGAAGCAGATTCCTTACGGTATGCCCCTGCTCTAGAAGCAGCAAGTTTTGACGGCTCGTATCGTTGGCCGTCCTCTCGCATCGGTTCAGAATCAAATCGACGGCGTGCATGAGGTAGGCAATTTTCTGTTCGGCGAGATGGGGTATAGTAATACTTTCGCAAGCCTCGCCATCGCCTTGGCCAAGATACAGACCGCCTCTATGCCTTGGTATGGATATCATGTCCTTTAGGATGTCTCTGCGGATGCCTTTGTACATCTCGCGCCACCGAGTGCGGTCCAGCCACGGGCTTATTGCCAGACCTGCCTATATCGATATCCACCAAAATCCGAGGCCTTATATCGATATCCAGATAAGCTCGCGACACTATATGGATATCGATATATCCAGACTGATATCCATATAGCCACATAGCCATTTTAGCAACCTTGATATCCAGCTAAGCCACATCTATTTATAGCAGTCTAGAAGAATGTGGGCGCTGTCCTAATCTAGCAAATCCTCAGCCTCAGTGTCCATACCCAACTCAACAGCACCGCTCGAAAGAGCCCCCTGCCGCCATGCGACCTAGGAACAATGATACCCTCGCGTATCCAGTTGCCCACGCACTCCACCTTCGCCAGGTTCTCGCACGTCATGCTCCTCTGTCCCATGATAGCGTACGGCGCGCAGACGAAAAGTGCGACTCTACATTAGATGATTCAGGAGGAGTGGAGAGGATATCAATGGCCATACGGGACAAACGTGGATATGATTTCCTTTGATCTGGATGCAGCCACCACTCGAGAGGATACCCAGTAATCCGAATTGGAGGCGCATTAACAAAGGCTTCGAAGTCATCAGCATCATCTACTACAGGATCAGTGACTGCGATATCGCTCAATAGCTCATCAAGCTCGTTGCGCTGTCTCCTAGAAGAGGACACATCTGGAGGCACTGGCAAGGATTCTGGGATCGCCGCAGTCTTGTACTCGTCTAACCAAATTTTCTGCGCAGCAGCAATGGCAGGGGCTTGCCAGGACTCCCTCCAGTTCCGTTCAGAATGTATTTCCGTCGTTTCGAAGGATCAAGGAGGAGCGCGGCAGCATATACAGGCGTCTGATCTGATAAAGCGTAGTACTTGTCAAGCACGAACCAGCCCATGTCGATGCAGTGTACCATGTGAGGATCTCATGTTTCTTCCGAACTATACAACTGCTGCATAATTATAGCGGCTTGTTAGTAGAGCCCGTAGCCCGTAGGTAAAAGGAAGTACGAAACTAACCTTGTACTTCTCATACTGCCGCAATAAAACATCCATGATCGAGAGGGATTGGGATAGTGTCGAGCGTGCCCCCTCAGCAAGCAATGTAGCCGAGGCAAACGGCTGCAGGAAACGATGCGTTCGTTTTATGAACTCCCACTCTGAAGCTAGTAGAATCTCGTCTTGAAGCTCTCTATCATGTTCAATTAGGAACTGCTTAACACGCGTTTGATACCGCAGAAGATTATCCAGCAATCGATACCATGAGTTCCAACGTGTTGCATTATCGATACCTAGTCGAAGCTTGATCTCGTCATCCCACACAGCCGAATGAAGAGTGGATTTGCGTATCCATACCACAACATTGCGCACCTTGCGTAGTGGCGCGATATGCTGCCACCCAGTAAAGTTCTCAAGTATACGGTTGCCTCTCCTTGAGGATCTTCTTTTCCGATCGGCCGCGTACCTGCGCCTTCGGGGTCGCGGCCATGGATCTGACAGGAATTCGCGGTAGCGAGTAGGACTATTCGGCTCTGTTGGGATATCGTCATCGAGGTCGGCATCGGCGGCCGTACTGTCTACAACGTAGTGGTTAACGCTGGCTGTACTCGAGCGTGAGGAACTGACCATGAGACACGCCAGTCTTGGCGCTGGCCATTTGATCGAATGTAAGTGGCAGTTTCGATAGAAAGACACAGGCTCAGGCAGAACCTGTCGTACTTGAGCTTGCAAGGGTGGAGTACTTCTTCCTGGATGTGATCAGCATGTACTTGTAGTTACCCTGAACGGCATGATGGTGCTCAGGGTGTTGGTGATAAGATCGACCCCGATATCCGACATGATCGGCGCTGACGTGGTAGACCACCTTGGTTTTGGTATGAGAACGTTCTCGGCTGGTGCCTAGATTTCGATCAAAGCGCCTGATCAGTTTTATAGCCCGCAAAGCCTGCCAAACGATGGGTTCGCGCGCTGTTCAACCACCAAGGGCTACACAGTCGCTCAGCTGCTGCGTATAATAGCTCCGTAGCCACGTACCCAGCGCAACGCCTACTCTGTTTTGGTTGCCTGTACCCTTTTTCGTCACCGTACTTACACCGACTCAGGTGACTCGTTCTAGAGAGTGGTACCGACGTCATCGCAATCAGCGATCCGGGGTAAATTAGCCTCGCCAAAGCATGGTGTATGAATAGCTGCTGGCTGTATTGTACATCTCCACATTCATGCGCTCACGCCGACATGCCCCAAGCATCTACGTACTAACCCGAAGTCTTATCAATATGACGGTCAATGCCACCAAACTATTCAGTAGCAAACAATGGACAAGAAAACACGCTCCTATCATCCGCATGCTGGTGAGCTGAGGAAGAAGCGTCGCTTCAGTTCACGGATGAATGAAAATTAGGAGATTACTGTACATCCGCGTATCAGCAGTGGAGATTTGCCAGCGCGGCCCAGGGCAGCCTTACGCTGCACTCGCTCTCTTCGGCCTGCTGTTACGCAGTTCTTGCTCGCCGGCGTTGCTGGCGTGAACCTTACTCGCCATTAATTCTGGTCTGCATCGTCGTCCAATCCAGCCTCGAACGAAGTTCGTTCACTCTTTTCTAGTCAAAATCTGCCTCACGACTGTAAAAGGCTCAGCGGTGCCTCTAGGCAAGCGCGTCCACTTTCTGGTCCTTTACCTTGTCCGCTTGGTGAATTTTGCATCCGTCCACTCTAGCCTCTCTTCCCCTTCTCGGTACCGCGAACTATCAGAGTGCGGTGTCTTCTGTCGTTTTATTTAGTTCCCCTTTTGTTCACTGCTGATTGTCCGCCTTTTGCGCAACCATTTCCCGACAGCTTAAGCTAGTGGCTTTCCTTCTCTTGCTGCTTTTCGGGCCAACAGTCTTGGCTGATGCGTTCGTGCTCCATGGCTCCTCCAGGTTCTGACCACCACCCGTCGTTGGCACCATCGGCGCATCATGCTCGCGCATTACTGGCTTTCTGGCTGTGCTAGCAGCCTATCGCTTTAGGCGACGGCGGCTCAGCCCATGTCCACTTCTCCCCTTCGTTTTCCTTTTCTGCCCTTCAGCTTCTTGACAGCGGGCACTGGCACTGGTTGAACCAAGAAAAAAAAAAGAAAAAAAAAAGGGAGAACAACTGCCAATATCACCGGCCACAAAGTCAGCGTCGCAAGCTTCTCTTCCCTGGAAAGTGCTATCGCCGGGAAAACACCCTCAACAGAGCGACACGCAAGATGAGGAAGCGACACATGGGTGACATCTTGTGCACAAACGGCCACCGAAGTTCGTTACAGGTTGCGCAAAGATATCGAGTGGCTGATCTTTGACATTTGGCATCCTTAACATATTTACGATGCTGGCACGCACAACAGTCAGCCCAGGTCTACCCGGCACTACATACCGTCTAGCCAGCAAACTCCGAAATGCAGAACAAAGATCGCATTTTAATGCCTTTGAAGAAGAATTTCAGGAACAGAAGAAATGAAAATATTTCTAGGAGTCTTCAGAGGGTCATGTGCAGATTAGACTACCTGAATCGCAAATACGGCGTTGAAGTCTATCTCTGCGCTAGAGACAAGAGATACTTCGAGTATAGCTCATCTCCGTCATTCCATCCCACAACTCTTGATGTCGTAAGTGTCACGATCTCCAAACAGCACATATGCTTACCGCGACAGAGCCAGAGTTACAGGCCACTACGCAGAGGTCCAGCGGACTTTGACAACGGGGCTAGTTGTGCGGCAGGATGCGACAAGTCCACGTTTGTTCCGGACTGCGCCAACATGATCTTCACTTGACATTGGCTGTTCCGTGGAGGAAACTTTTAATGAACTGTGAATGATGATCTCCTTGTCTTGTAGCCGCGCAAATTGGCCACTTTTCGACATCATGTCACTTTCAATGAGAGAAGGTGAGAGGGTATTCATAGGAGATGAAATACGATATTGATTGCATCATTTTGAACTTCGAGTTTTGCGTTAAGCTTTCACAGGCCTACGATTGAGTACAGTACCCCCACAGGTTCTGCGCGTCGAATAGCAATTTGCCAGAAACATTCTCTATCGATGTCAAGGGGGTGTTAGTTCGAGCTAAGATGCATCGA